CCCTCCCCTGCTCTGCTCCTCGGCGCCTCAGCTCCTCTGGGCATTCGCTCTTGCGATGGCCCGGCCTGTTGCAAGCAAAGCAGCGCCCTTTAAACGGTGCGGCAGCTGCATTTGTTGCAACGGCGTGTACAGTGGCGTGCTCGGTCGGTCCCCGAGGGCGATGTCCGTAATAGGACCCCGGTCTCGGTCGGCGTAGAATGCCGATCTTCTCGGCGAGCGCGAGAATCTCGTTAAAATTAGAGAGTCCGCGCAGCATTATTTCGTGCGAGATATCCGGCTTCAGCCCTCCGACATAACGGTCCACCCGCTCCGCTTCGTGCATGTAGCCGACCTGCTCGCAAAGTGCGAGAAAACCGCTTGTATAATCTTTGTCAGAATGTTATTTGTCTAGCTTGCAGTGGGGTGCTCAATAGTGAGTACAACCCCTTAGGGTTTGCCATTTTGTGTGTCCTGCTGCTTCCTAGTCCCTCATTATTCCTTCCAATTCTCCTTCGTAAACCCTAACTCCTAGTTCTAGAGCAAGCCCACCTACCTCCTAGTGTGGGCCTAGGCTACTAAGCCTAGGCCCCACACCTACTATTCTAACATGGTATCTAGAGCCGGCATGATCCTGCCGCCTAGTTCATCGGGCCCACCACCTACTTCCGCTGCCGTACTATTCGCCGCGCGCCCCGTGGTGCGCGGCATTGCATTTTCATCCCGCCACGCGCTTCGAACGCGTGGCGGCTTTTTCTGCCCGCAGCGCGCTCGGGGCGCGCGGCGGTTTTCCCGTCCGTCGGAGCGCCCTCGAGGGGGCCTGCGCGCTGCCCTCCCCGCTGCTCGTCACGGCGCCCCCTGCGGGACCCGCGCGGCGTCGCCCTACTTGTCGCGACGTCCGTGCGGGACCCGCGGGGCGTCGCCCCTGCTCGTCGCGACGCCCCCTGCGGGACCCGCGCGGCGTCGCCCTGCTCGTCGCGACGTCCGTGCGGGACCCGCGGGGCGTCGCCCCTGCTCGTCGCGACGCCCCCTGTGGGACCCGCGGGGCGTCGCCCCTGCTCGTCGCGACGCCCCCTGTGGGACCCGCGGGGCGTCGCCCCTGCTCGTCGCGACGCCCCCTGTGGGACCCGCGGGGCGTCGCCCCTGCTCGTCGCGACGCCCCCTGCGGGACCCGCGGGGCGCCGTCAGATCCTGCAGCAGCAGCCGCCGCCGCCCTGCAGCAGCAGCCCCCGCCAGGCCTGCAGCAGCAGCCGCCGCCAGAGCCTGCAGCAGCAGCCGCCGCCAGAGCCTGCAGCAGCAGCCGCCGCCAGAGTCTGCAGCAGCAGCCGCCGCCAGGCCTGCAGCAGCAGCCGCCGCCAGAGCCTGCAGCAGCAGCCGCCGCCAGAGCCTGCAGCAGCAGCCGCCGCCAGAGTCTGCAGCAGCAGCCGCCGCCAGAGCCTGCAGCAGCAGCCGCCGCCGAGCCCGCAGCAGCAGCCGCCGCCAGGCCTGCAGCAGCTGCCGCCACCGAGCTTGCAGCAGCAGCCGCCGCTCTACCAGCAGCAGCAGCCGCCGCCGCTCTGCAGCAGCAGCCGCCGCCAGAGCCTGCAGCAGCAGCCGCCGCCAGAACCTGCAGCAGCAGACGCCCCTGGAGCTGCCCGCCACTGCAGCAGCCGCCCTTGGTGCAGCCGCCGCTGGTACAGCCGCCCCTGGTCCCTGGAGCAGCCGACCCTGCAGCAGCCGCCCCTGGTCCCTGGAGCGGCCGCCCGTGCAGGAGCCGCCCCTGGCCCCTGGAGCAGCAGCCCCTGCAGCAGCCGCCCCTGGACCTCAGAAGCCGCCCCTGGACCCGGTACGCTCTGTGCTGCCCGTGCCTGTGCTGCCCGTACCTGTGCTGCCCTGTGCTGCCTGTGCCTGTTGCTGCCTGTGCCTGTGCTGCACGTGCCTGTGCTGCCCGTGCCTGTGCTGCCTGTGCCTGTTGCTGCCTGTGCCCTGTGCTGCCTGTGCTTGTTGCTGCCTGTGCCTGTTGCTGCCTGTGCCTGTGCTGCCCGTGCCTGTGCTGCCCGTGCCTGTGCTGCCTGTGCCTGTTGCTGCCTATGCCCTGTGCTGCCTGTGCCTGTTGCTGCCTGTGCCTGTGCTGCCCGTGCCTCTGCTGCCCGTGCCTATGCTGCCCGTGCCTGTGCTGCCTGTGCCTGTTGCTGCCTGTGCCTGGTGCTGCCCGTGCCTGTGCTGCCCGTGCCTGTGCTGCCCGTGCTTGTGCTGCCTGTGCCTGTTGCTGCCCGTGCCTGTGCTGCCCTGTGCTGCCCGTGCCTGTGCTGCCTGTGCCTGTTGCTGCCCGTGCCTGTGCTGCCCTGTGCTGCATGTGCCTGGTGCTGCTCGTGCCTCGCGTTCGCGCCCTCGTGCGCTCTGCTACTGTCTGCGCCCTCGTGCGCACTGTTTCTGCTCTCCCCCCCCCCCCCGTTTGCGGGTATGGGGGTGGCTGGTGTGCATTCCTCCCTTTGCTCCTCCTCCTCCTTCGTCTCCCACTGCTGCAGCTGTCGCTGAGGGGGGTGGTTGTGTGGGAGACTGGGGTTTAGGGTTTAAGGGGGGTGCGTGGGAGTGGAGCTAGCGGTGTAGCAGCGGGTGTGTGTCAGGGGGGTGGGACTGTTTGGGGAAGCTGCATGGAAGTCGCCGTACTGTTGTCCGCAGCACCTGTAGTCCGGGGCGCTGTCCCGGTAGCCCAGTGAGCTAGACTTCTACGCCAGCCGCCCGTGGGTCTGTTGCTCGTCTGCCGCTACTTTAGCCGCGGGGCCTGTTACTCCTGTAGTCCGGACGCTTAGTCCGGTAGCCGCTGTGCCAGTCTGCCTCCTGTTGCCCGTGTGTCTGCAGCTTCAGCCGTCTCCTCCTATCTCCTCTCCCCTCACTCTCTCTCCTCCTCCTCACTTGCCCGTTGTGACTACCACTAGCTGTGCTCATAATTCTTAACTTTAAACTATTGCTTCTTTAACTTGTGCTCAGAATGTGTGGTGACATTGTGATCCACCCTGAGCTTGTACTGCTTTGCCTGCTCTGCTGATTACACCCCACTTTGGCTATGGGGGTGTGTCAGAATGTTATTTGTCTAGCTTGCAGTGGGGTGCTCAATAGTGAGTACAACCCCTTAGGGTTTGCCATTTTGTGTGTCCTGCTGCTTCCCAGTCCCTCATTCTTCCTTCCAATTCTCCTTCGTAAACCCTAACTCCTAGTTCTAGAGCAAGCCCACCTACCTCCTAGTGTGGGCCTAGGCTACTAAGCCTAGGCCCCACACCTACTATTCTAACAATCTTGAACTGACCCGAGCTGGCGCCAAGTGCGCAATCTCTGACGCGCCGAAATTGAAGCCGCGAACGGCTCAAAACGCGCCCGAAGCCCTGCGCACCACGCATCCCACGTGCTGTATTGGGCGGTCTCACAGAACGAACTCCAGGTGACAGCTGGACCCGTGGGCCCTTCCTCGTGCGACGGTGGCTCGTAGGCGCGTGGCGACGTCACGATGACTCGCCACCAGTCCATGGCGGGGCCCCTTAGCAGTGAAACTGCATACCGGATCTTCGCGGCGTCCGACTCGACGTAATTTGCGTCGAAGAAGACGTTCATCGTGAAGACCCACGATTGAACCGTCGGACCGCCGCATTGGCTTGGGTCGAAGCAGGGCGGGCGTTGCAGCTTGAGCGGCATTGGTGCCATGATGGCTTGTTCGCCACTTGTCGCCGCAAATTCCACGTGCCGACGGGCTTCTCGGGGCTCCCGCGGGCTTGGTGCGATCCTGTTTCCTCCCATGCCAGGCATCGGCTGGGCGGCGCCATTACTGGTTGTGCCTGAGCGTTGTCCCATGCTGTCGTGTTGCGTTGGTGTGCCGGACGAGATGACGATCGGTTCATCCGAATGAGCCGATACATTTGTTGGTGTGTGTGATGTCGTCGGAACGTTCACCGTGGACTGTTGACGGGCGGAGTCACGTTCCGCCGTGAGTGTCGCGATTTCGAGCGCTGAATCTTCCAGCTGACGCACGAGACGATCAAGTTGCTCCTGCGTTAATGTGGCGAGCGTGAAATCGGCCATGGCGGGGGTGTCAGGCAAGCTCAGCGAGAGCCTCGGTCGTGGCCGTGCGTGCTTGCGAGAGAGCACTACGAGCGGCGGTGCTGTATCGCTGAGAGACGTCTACCCCCCCCAAAAAATTGAGATAGTGGGGAAGCGAAGGTGTGGATGCGGTCCGAGCTGAGATCGTAGGCTCTGATACCAAGTGTTACGAGTGCAATTGAGTGAACGAACGAGAATTGCACTATCGAAGCAAGAATACAATGAGCGAGGGCGTGAGCGAAAGAACATATAGCGAAACTACAGTGGTAACGGTAATGGTCTGTGGTAGTCGCGCGACGAGCCTGGGACTGAGGTTGGGAAAGTGTCGAGGCGTAGGCCCGGAGCGCGGGTTACCAGCCGAGCCGTGAGGTCGGGATGCGATGTGCGAAAAATGGCGGGATGATTGTCGATGCGATGATCGCGAGTGGTAACGGTGCTGACTGAGGGGCTACAGTGATGTATGCGTTGAGCAGGGATGCGAAGTAAGGAAAAGGGATTTTCCTTACATTATCAATCATTGGTGCTAACAAATTGCTGCTGAGACGAGTGCAATTGAGCGAGTGTGCGAGGATTGACCCTTTCTTTCTTCATTTCCTTTCTCCTTCATTCATGTCTTTCTTTCCCTTCTTTTCCTCTTTCTATCTAGGACAATGATAGATTCAGGTGTCACGGTCATCCCTAGGTTTTGAACCTACCTGATGGGTCAGATGGCGTGATTTTTTCTGTCTGATGTATCAGAAGTTTCTTAAAATGCTAGTGAAGCCTATTCAACAAATACGCGAGATGAGGCATGCTCAACCATGAAACTTGGTTTTCTAAAATAACAATAATCTGCTTACTATGCCAAAACATGGTATGCAACATTTTTGGGTTGCGTAGCAACCTTAACATTTGTTTTCACGTTTTGCCACCGTTTTAAGGAATGAAGCTAACCCAGAAATTACAGCATGGCTTCAGACTGATAACCCCACCTGACTCCGAACCCCTCACACCCCTCAGCTCAACCCGAACACTCTAGCGCACCTCAAACCCGTGCAACCACCAATACGGAGCCTCCACCCACCGAGCTCCCCCCTCTACCTCAGTGCGTATCAATGTTTGGTTCCTGTAGCTGTACGAGACCATAATATAGAGCCGTAATAGAAAGTGAGTGAGCAAAATAATAGCACAAATGTGATCAAATCTACATTCGACGAGATATCCTATGTGGCACAATACAATGGGCGTCAGAGGTGGTACTTCAGCACTACCAACAAAAAACACACATTAGTCGAATGACACCACATTCCAACAATCACACGCACTTCATTTCAATGTGCTGGCATACTTCAGCGCATTCCAGCACACTTGAGACTCATTTCGTACTACTCGCCCACGGCGGCGGCACTAGGGGTGAGTTGAGGCGCTCATAACTGTACAATTTATGTACCGGATCCGTAGCTTGACTCCCGTCATTGCCGCTCCCACTCGCACCACTGCCAGTACTGCTGCTGTTGCCACCACTGGCACTGCTGCTCGCACGAGTGCTTTGATCACGGCCGAGAGCAGCATCGGGATTAACAGACCCTTCCGCTGGGGCATTGGGGTCCCTCTCTCCCTTGTATGCCTGCCCTGCGACTGCCACACTCGCCTCTGCCACCCACGCCACCCGCGGTGCCCTCTCCGCCTCAAAGGCATCAAGTGCAACCCTGCCAGGTCAAGAAGGGCGAGAGAGTAGGTGGGCTGGGTTGTGAGGCACCACACAAGAAGTCCGGTATATTAGTGCGACTTTTGAGAATTCTCAAAAGTCGCACTAATATACGAGAGAGTAGGTGGGTTGGGTTGTGAGGCACCACACAAGAAGTTCGCCTCAGAAGCAGCCCTCCACCCGCGGTGCCCACTCCGCCTCAAATTCGTCCCTGTCAGGCGAGGAGGTGCAGAAGAAGAGAATGGGTGGGTTTAGAGGCGCATGTGCTGTGCATTAATCTATCTTCAATCCTCTATCCTCTAAAGCAGTACCCTCAAAGGCAGTCTGCCACGACACCCACGGTGCCCTTTCCGCCTTAAATGCATCTAGTGCTGCCTTGCCAGGCGAGGAGGGTCGAGAGAGTGGGTGGGTTGTGAGGCACCTGAGAAGTAGTCGGCACCAAAATAATTAAAAAAAAAACACCATGGTGCCCTCTCGCCTCGAAGGGATAGACCGCGAGCTTCAGCGCATCCTCCATTGCTTGCCGCACTGCTGGTCTCACTGGATAGAGTCATCAGAGAGCAAGAAGACTTTTGAGTCGACTCAAAAGTCACCTCGTTTTGAGTCGACTCAAAAGTCACCTCGTTTTGAATCAACTCAAAAGTCATCGTCCATTGCTTGCCACACTGCTGGCCTCACTGGATGGAGTCATCAGAGAGCAAGAAGGAAGCAAACAGTACTAGCTAACAATGGTGCACACCACACCACGCACTCGAGGGAGGGATGATCCGCAACCACTTGCCGTGCGAGCTCTAGCGCATCTTCAATTGCCAGGCTGCTGCCCTCATCGCACAGAGTGCTAAACAGAGCACGCGGCAACAAACAGTGCTAACTAGCAGCGGTGCACTATGCCACTCACTCGAAGGAGGGATGATCCGCAACCACTTGCCGTGCGAGCTCTAGCACATCTTCAATTGCCAGGCTGCTGCCCTCATTGCACAGAGTGCTAAACAGAGCACGCGGCAACAAATAGTGCTAACTAGCAGCGGTGCACTATGCCACTCACTCGAAGGAGGGATGATCCGCAACCACTTGCCGTGCGAGCTCTAGCGCATCTTCAATTGCCAGGCTGCTGCCCTCATTGCACTGAGTGCTAAACAGAGCACGCGGCAACAAACAGTGCTAACTAGCAGCGGTGCACTATGCCACTCACTCGAAGGAGGGATGATCCGCAACCACTTGCCGTGCGAGCTCTAGCGCATCTTCAATTGCCAGGCTGCTGCCCTCATTGGACACATTCACCAAACAGCAAGCAGGAAACGAACTGTACTGACTAACAAGGTGCACTACACCACGCACTCGAGAGAGGGATGGTCGGCAACCACTTGTCGTGCGAGCTCCAGTGCATCCTCTATTGCCAGGCTGCTGCCCTGGCCTAGCGTGGGCGGCACCGCATGCGCTGCATCTAGACGGCACGATGGGGAAGATGCATTTGATGGGAGCATGTGAGAAAGATGGAGGGAATATGGGGGGAGATGTGGGCGGCACCGCATGCGCTGCATCTGGTCGGCATGATGGGGAAGTTGCATTTGATGGGAGCATGCGAGAAAGATGGAGGGAATATGGGGGGAGATGTGGGTGGCACTGCATGCGCTGCATCTGGACGGCATGATGAGAAGATGCAGATGATGGCGTGATGGGGACAGCATGTGAGAGAGGTGGGTGGGTGAGTTTGAACGGTATCTCAGTCCCCGAGGCTGCAGACAATGATTGGAAAGGCAGATAATTAGCTGATTATACGATAAAAAAAAGACCGAGAAGCAGAGACGGAAAAGCCCATCTAGAGCACTTTGATTGCAGGCAGCCAGAACTTCATTTGAGCAGGGCACGTGAGAGCAGGGAACGTGAGAGCAGGGCACGTGAGAGCAGGGCACGTGAGAGCAGGGCACGTGAGAGCAGGGCACGTGAGAGCAGGGCACATGAGAGCAGGACACGTGAGAGCAGGGCACATGAGAGCAGGGCACGTGAGAGCAGGGCACGTGAGAGCAGGGCACATGAGAGCAGGACACGTGAGAGCAGGGCACGTGAGAGCAGGGCACGTGAGAGCAGGCAGGGCATACAAGGAGTTTTGAAGTAGCCATGGGGCACGAGGGCACGAGGGCAAGAGGGCAAGAGGTTAAGAAGGCAAGAGGTCACGAGGGCAAGAGCGCAAGAGGGCAAGAGGGCAAGAGTGCAAGAGGTTAAGAGGGCAAGAGTGCAAGTGTGCAAGAGTGCAAGAGGTTAAGAGGCAGGAACGAGGTTGGGGCGCAGCAAGGGAGAGAGAGCACCTCCGATGATGAGGATACGGCCGTTGCGCCAGCGGGGAAGTGGAGGCACGTCCAGTACTCGGCGCTCCAAATACAGGCCGGGGGGGACAGCCTGGTTGCAGGGGGAGGGAGGGGTTGGGGAGGGAGGGGTTGGGATGTGTGAGGCTGGCAGGCAGGGGAGAGGAGGCACGTCCAGCACCCGGCGCTCCAGAAACAGATCAGGGGGGACAGCCTGGTTGTAGGGCGAGGGAGGGGTTGGGGAAGGGTTTCGTCTGAGGCGTGCCAGTAACCACCTGGGAAGCGGAGGGACGGGTTGGGAAAGCCGAGGGACGTCCAGAACCTTGTGCTTGAAAAACAAGTCTTCATCTCCCCTCGCCCGCCTCCTTTCATTTGTTCGAGCAGAAACGAAGCACCCACCCTCCCACCGACCCACCCACCTACCCACCCACCCACACACCTCGATCACATCCTTGTATGCAGGCCAGTCGGCAAAGAGCGCCCTCAGCTTCCCCCGCACCTCCTCTAGTCCGAGTCAACTAAGAAAACGCATCCACTCACCTCGATAACTCCCCCCTGCCCACCTCAATAACATCCTTGTATGCAGGCCAGTCGGCAAAGAGCGCCCTCAGCTTCCCCCGCACCTCCTCTAGTCCGAGTCAACTAAGAAAACGCATCCACTCACCTCGATAACTCCCCCCTGCCCACCTCAATAACATCCTTGTATGCAGGCCAGTCGTCAAAGAGCGCCCTCAGCTTCCCCTGCACCTCCTCTAGTCCGAGTCAACTAAGAAAACGCATCCACTCACCTCGATAACTCCCCCCTGCCCACCTCAATAACATCCTTGTATGCAGGCCAGTCGGCAAAAAGCGCCCTGATCTTCCCCCGCACTTCCTCCCCATTCGCTGAACGCTGCTGTGTCAGCCCCCTCCCCTGCTCGTCCGCACACACAAACAGGACAAAAATCTCCGCCCCACCGAGGTCCCCCACTGCGGCCGTCCTCCCGCCGCCCCTCGTGAAGCACGTGCGGTAGGGGCGCGAGTGCTGGAGGTGGGGAGGAAGGGAGCGAGGGAGGGAGGGAGGGAGCGAGGGAGGGAGGGAATTAGGGAGGGAGGGAGGGAGGGAGGGAGGGAGGGCGGGAGGGAGGTAGGGAGGGAGGGAGGGAGGGAGCGAGGGAGGGAGGGAGGGGGCGTGGGTGGGTGGGTGGGTGGGAACAGCAACCATGTTACCGTGTCAGAGAGGTTAAACGAGACACACAATCACATTCCAAACATCGTTGTGCAAGGGAAAAAAACAAGTCAACGGCACCCAGCGGGCTTCTGAATTTCCCTAAGGACAAGGCAATTGCACCTCGAAGCTCAGAGATTCACGGGGACCAAGCCAGTTCCAGGCTGCAGCCAGTGTTCTCCTGTTTGACCCACAGCAACCCGTGTTGTGAATCAAGCTATGAGCGCACGCACGTCGAAGCTCACAGCCGCACCTCAAAGCTCACAGCCGCACGATCTCATTCACACCTCAAAGCTCACAGCCGCACAATCTCATTCACACCTCAAAGCTCACAGCCGCACGATCTCATTCACACCTCGAAGCTCACAGTCTCGCGGGGAGCAGCTCCGAGCCACATGGTGCGGCCGTTATCCCGCGGCGGGCCCCACCGCTCCCTCTCCTCGCCCTCCCTCAACACATGCTGTCTCACAGCCGATCGCACCCCGTCCGTGCCAATCAGCAGATCCGCCTGAGGCATAGAGGGAGACAGATAGGAACGACAATCTCGTTGGTGTGCAGTCAGTACGCTTGCAGGCTTGAGCAGTCACTGGCACCCCATCCGTGCCCATTTGACTTTTGAGTCAACTCAAAAGTCAGCAGTCACTGGCACCCCATCCGTGCCCATTTGACTTTTGAGTCGACTCAAAAGTCAGCAGTCACTGGCACCCCATCCGTGCCCATTTGACTTTTGAGTCGACTCAAAAGTCAGCAGTCACTGGCACCCCATCCGTGCCCATTTGACTTTTGAGTCGACTCAAAAGTCAGCAGTCACTGGCACCCCATCCGTGCCCATTTGACTTTTGAGTCGACTCAAAAGTCAGCAGTCACTGGCACCCCATCCGTGCCCATTTGACTTTTGAGTCGACTCAAAAGTCAGCAGTCACTGGCACCCCATCCGTGCCCATTTGACTTTTGAGTCGACTCAAAAGTCAGCAGTCACTGGCACCCCATCCGTGCCCATTTGACTTTTGAGTCGACTCAAAAGTCAGCAGTCACTGGCACCCCATCCGTGCCCATCAGCAGATCCGCCTGCGACACGAAGCACAGATGAACGCACCAAAACTCAGACATGCAACATTAGCAGACGCTTTAGTTCACCTCCTTCAACACATGCTGCCTCACTGCCGCCCACACCCCGTCCGTGCCCATCAGAAGGTCCGCCTGCAACACAGAGTGACAGAGAGGCAGGAGGGGCAGGCTCTTGAGTTCACATCACATCAGAGTCTCTAAGCCAAGCAGGCTTTAGAGGTCACTGGCAGGCGGCCTGTCCGCACCCCACCAGCAGATCCGCTCATGTAACGCACAGCTCATGTAACGCACAGCTCATGTAACGCACAGCTCATGCAACGCACAGCTCATGTAATGCACAGCTCATGTAACGTGCAGCTCATGTAATGCACAGCTCATGTAACGCACAGCTCATGTAACGTGCAGCTCATGTAACGTGCAGCTCATGTAACGCACAGCTCATGTAACGCACAGCTCATGTAACGCACAGCTCATGTAACGCACAGCTCATGTAACACACAGCTCATGTAACGCGCAGCTCATGTAACCCGCATCTCATGTAACGCGCAGCTCATGTGACGTGCAGCTCATGTAACGCACAGCTCATGTAACGCACAGCTCATGTAATGCACAGCTCATGTAACGCACAGCTCATGTAACGCGCAGCTCATGTAACGCACAGCTCATGTAATGCGCAGCTCATGTAACGCACAGCTCATGTAACGCACAGCTCATGTAACGCACAGATCATGTAACGCACAGCTCATGTAACGCAAAGCTCATGTAACGCACAGCTCATGTAACGCACAGCTCATGTAACGCACAGCTCATGTAACGCACAGTTCATGTAACGCACAGCTCATGTAACGCACCGCTTATGCAACGTGCTGCTTACATCATACACCCCCTATATTACGTGCCACCAGGCAGTTCTGTGCGAAGCTCGAGCGGCCCTGCTTACCTCTGCACTGAAAGGCTGCTCGTGGCGAGTGAAGTGGGCCGTCACGTGCCCATTGGCCTGGCAGAGTGAGTGAGCATGGGGACGGGGAGCAAAGCGCACCAGGCAAACAAACCAGAGGCAAGGGCGAGAGGAGAGAGGAGTTTTGAGGTGCCTCAAACTTTGGCCTGGCAGAGTGAGTGAGTGAACATGGGGATGGGGAGCAAAGCACACCAGGCAAACAAATCAGAGACAAGGGCGAATGAGAGGAGAGAGGAGGGGCGAGGGAGACTAAGAGAGTGGAGCGAGTGAGAGGAACAGAGAGGGTTGGATGAGAGGACGAGTGAGGGGCAAGGGAGAGGAAGAGGGGGCCTGCAGCTCTCTGGCAGGGCACTAAGCGCTCTGAAGCACCTGCAGCATTCTCTAGGCGACTTTAAACCCACCTGGTCCACGTGCGGGCACTAAGCGACTCAATGCTTTCTTGTCATAGTGTGGTAGAGAAAGGTCCTGGACCATGCCTCGTAACTTGGTCGTTTCGTGCTCCTTGAAGATCACATTCTCTCTCGCGCGCTTAACCTTCATCTCGCTTTCCCTCAGTTTAATTGAACTTCCGAGATTCTCCTCATTGTATCCTGAAAGTGAACCTCCTCTACGAAATTCAGCTTCTCCCGCCGAAGGCTCTATTCGTCTTCAAACCCACAAGGAGAAAACGATCCGGTGTGCTCTCCTGCTGAATCCATTGTGGAGTCTCTTACTCTGAGAAGATTTAGGCTCACGTAAGTCTACTTATGTGGTTGTGATGTCTGCTTTGCTTTATGACACAACTTCGAAGATACAATTGTCGGATAACTTTCAGTCTCGGGCTCCCGTCAAATGCGGCGTGGTTCAACGGTCCGGAAAATTATCGTGGGGCCACCATACGATGCAAAAAATGAGGGGTGACCGAATTACTGCAGATCAACTCACCAGATGCTCTCGAGATTGACTCTCTCAATTCTCGAACAACACCTTGATTTGATCGTGTATGCTAGTGACGAGGTTGTGATTCGTTAAAACGCGATTCCGTGCTAGTGACGAGGTTGTGATTCGTTAAAACACAGGCACGCACCTGCTCCACGTGCCCGGTGAACTCGCAGCCCTGGTGCACACACGAGGCAGGCAGGAAGCTCTGCAGCACTTCGAGAGCGAGCCCCCAGCGGATGGAGAGGCGGCCGTCAGCCGGCGCCATGGCCTCCAGCAGCACCTCGCCCGATGGGGAGAGTTGCCACAGGCTGGGCACATGCGCGCCTTGCGATGGGAACTACGAGGAAGGGGGTGGGGGGCGGGTGGAGGGAAGTTGACTCCAGAAGCACCTTGCTGGATGGGGCGAGCTCCCATAGGCTGGGCACATGCGCTCCTTGGAATGAAATATGCAGGTAAGGGGGAAGGGAGTGAGAGGGGGGAAGATGAGAAGGGAAGTGGCCTCCGGTAGCACCTCGCCTGATCCTGATGCGCGCCTTGCGACGACAGCCGTGGGGAGTGGGGCATAGGGGGAGGGGGGAAGGTGAGGTGAGAAGGGAAGTGGCCTCCAGAAGCACCTCGCCCGACGGGACGGGGCGAGGTGGTAAGCCTTGTAAGTCGACTCAATGGTCATCTGTTACAGCAACAGCAATGGCGGCACTTTTGAGATTTCTCAAAAGTGACGCCAATACACACGACACGGCACGCCTTGTGAGTCAACATATAACCCAGACCCCAAGACGGTCCTTTAGAGTAGACTGAAGAGTAACATCTTACAGCATCAGCAATGGCGAGGTCGATACATGCATCTCACTGCCGCCAGCCCGTTGGGTTTTATCCCCACAGTACGGCGAAAACCAAAGACCCGAGATTCTCCTTATAAGTCATCTCTTACAGCATCAGCAATGGTGGGATCGATGCATCGCAGCGCGGCCAGCCCATTGGGCTGAATTCCCACCATGCGCCCCACCCTCTCGGGGTCACGCCCCTCCGCCTTCTCATACACCTGCCACGCAGGGGAACACAGAACATCAGACCTCGCAAACGCAACCTTTGTACACCTGCCATGCTTGGGAAACACCGGAATCGTAGACCCTTTCTTGTTCACGTGGCGCGGGGAGCAACATCCGCGAAGAGCAACAACCTGGCGCGGGGAGCGAAGCTGTAAGGCAGCAGGTGAGGGGGGAAGCTCTTTGTCACCTCGCCTTGCAGTGAAAGAAACTGTCTAACAGTCAGTAAGGCACCAACCTGAACGTCAACTCCCTGCCGGCGAAGAGCAATGGCTGCCGTCAGACCGGCAATCCCGCCGCCCACTATGATCGCATTTCTCAAGAGGGGCCTTTCCGCGAACTTTTGTTGGGACGAATCTCCCTTCGAATCCGCATCTGTCTTTACAGCAGCCGTGGGAATGGCGGCCTCGAAACAGCAGGAGCGCCTGAAATGCCGCGTTGTGTGGCTAACTTTTAGAATGCGGATATTTGAAGAATAGTAGGATGAAGCATTCATGGATTGTTGCGAGGGGAAGGAGACGGGGTGATCAGCAGCTCTTGGGATTATAGCGAGGACATGGCTGTAGGTCAGGTGATTATAACGAGAGGGAACTCCTAGCTGCATCATGCTTGTATTTTTGAAGCGTAGGAAAGAGGAGAAAACGTTTCCTTTCCTTCGCCTCGACTTCTGGAAAGGAACGCCGCTATGCAACGAAAACAATAACAATCATCGTAGGATGGGATGGGAGCCTGTGATGAAAGAAACATTAGAAACTCTGAGGAATGTCCAGCGCGTGTGATGCGTCAACACCGCATGTATTGGTCAGTATCACGCACAAGAAAAAACGCCAGCGTCATGAATGAGAGATGTTTTTGCTGTGGTAGTGTGGAGCTGTGGGACGGCAGAGCCATGCCGAATTCGACTCAGATTGTTGTGTGATGCGTTACTCGAAGTGAAGAATGTGAGGAATACATCACGGCTCTTTTATTTTTTCGAGCGGTGCAAAAGCTTCATTTTCTTACACGTTATTGGTTCATTATTCTGATTGAAAAATGATAGTTTCAGACAATGATAAACATCAAAATTAAGAAAGAACAAGCTAACACTGATTAGCATTCCGTTGAAGCCGAACAAGCTTACAGAGGCTGACTTCTGGGAAATCCCAATAACTAAATCTATTTTACTGTCAAAGGGCTCAGCATGCATGACAAAACGGTACATGTACAACAAAACTGCATTTGGAGAAGGGGACTGACATTCGTGTTGCATCCACCAGAGGATCACATGATCCATGTCTTGGTGTTGGTGACTTGTGCACTCCCATCATCAACCTGCGAAAATGACCCTATCTTTGACTAGGGCAACAGAGAATCGTATTGTTCTAAACCAGAGGACTACATCCGAATCTATCCATTACTCGTCTTGCATTGCAAGCTCCAGAGCATAATCATCGCGCTCGATAGGACCTCGTGCAAAATACTTGCCAAACTGCTGCCAGTACACTTCATCCTCGTCCTGTGTCTCCACCTCAAGGTCAGAAAGGGGAATCCCCACACACAGCAGTGCATAACCCTTTTCCTTGAGCTCTTGCGAAATACCGAGCGCGCGTGGTTGAACCAGCTCGCCTGAAATCACCCGGACAGCGCAGGCTGTGCAGCAGCCATGCCGGCATGCGAAAGGAAGCTTAATGCCTTCCTCCTCCGCGGTTTGAAGAATGTATTGATCCTGCATCATGAAGAAAGGCATCGAAGGGACCAAGGTAGGTGAAAACGTTAAACGAGGGGTAGGGTGGAATCTGACAGTCGAGAGCACACTGGTAGAGAGCTCAGAGCGTTGAGGCAGTTTCAGCAGTGCGTTATTCCGCTGTTGGCCCCAAGAAGCAGCTTAATGGATACAATACTTACGCCACGTATCGACTAGTTTCGTACGAAACGCGTGAGCTGGCTGGTATTCAAGATGCCATCTCATGTTACTGAGAATGATAGAGATATCGATTCAATGTTGTCATCGCTGTCATTGAACATTATCAACACCGAAAAGTGAACGTGCTTATTTGCGGGCGTCTGCTAACCAACCTGCTGCCTTTGCCGCGTAAAAACATAACCAACGCCCGAGGGACCTAGGTCAAGCTATAGGCACAATGGGATGAAGGTTCTCGCTAGTTCGTTTTTCACTCCAGTTTACAACATCCAGCGGATGACCCAATCAGTAACCTGCATATTTTTCCATACATCCATGATCATGTCCTACTACGCGTCATCGAGTCTTACCTGAGGCACGTCGACCGTATACGTGACTCCTCGTTCCCGGTCGTGCACCGTCACCGTGTGCACCGGAACCTCCTCGTACTCTCCGTCAATCATTCCCTCCAGCTCGTCCAGTTCTGCCGTAAACGTGTCGATCGCCGTCAGCTCCGACGCGCGCATCGGCGTTGACAATGGTCTTTTGCTGGATGCCGTCTGTCTCCTCGAGGGAAATGCGCCGGTGTGAGCGACTACGGCGGTGAGTGTGCGAGATGGGGGAGCGGAGATGGGAGCTGCTGCAGGCAGCTTCAGGAGAGCTCCCTGCATGGATGAGGAAAGTAGGCCGGCCATTTTTGGAAGACCGCGCAGTCGAAGCAAATCTGGAGCAGAGAGAAGGCGATATATATTCGGGGTACGTGAAGAATGACAAACACGATTCCCAGCGCGAAGCAGGAAGGAAGTACACGTAACAATCTGATGACAAGCCAGCGACAGCTGATTTTCTAGCAAATTCGAGCTTTGTTCCGCGAAGAAAGAGCATGGGGGAGCAGAAGAACAAGGGTTGTGCGGAAGTGGTGAAAAAACGGTTGACGACGTTATAAGACGGTTGAAGGTGTTTTGATGAAGGGACTTTAGATGGAGGAGTATGACGAGGGCATTTTCGAGTAGTGCTGGCCAATCAGGTGTTGAGCTTATGGAAGAATCCATCGCCCAGGTCTGCGCTGGACGGTAGAACATCTTCTTGGCGACGGGGATTGTGCCACCTGGAAGGTTACGTCAGGATACTTCCAATGCTGTGTCAACATACCAGACATTGAGATAACAATAGAGGAAAGCACCAGAGAAAAGCACTACTTAGAGAAATATTATACTACAAATAATATGACTATTGATTATACATGTTAACTTCAGCTCATATGTTGCAACTTCCCTATTTCCCCATCCCTGTACCAGTCCAAAAGCGAGTCCCTCCATCCCGTTTTCCCAACCCGTTTAGCCAAAGCGAACATTACAGCGCTGAACGCATCATACTGCGCAAGCAATCTAGTCACCTTCATTTGGGCCCCCTCAGGCAGAAAATCAACCGGATTGAACTGCGGCGCGGACCAGATGAAGAGCGGCCATAGCTGCTGCAGGCGCTTCTGCTTGAGTTCAATGTCTTCTGGCGGGATTGCCTGCAGCCGTTCGTGCAGCTGGGGAATGTCTCGAATGTTGAGTCGGTATGAGACTTGACTCCAGTCCACTCCGTCTCCTTCGAAGGGAAGCAGCACATCCGGCTGTTGGGATGGTAGGTCGGTTGGTTGATTAAAAGAAAAGAAAAGAAAAATAAATCATGAGGCCCTTCCACTCACACTTACAAGACTGATACCTGTGACCCAAATGAAGAACACAGCTTTCACCTGAAGAACAAGACTGAATGACAACAATGGCCCACCTGAGCGACAACAGAGACCCAACTGAACGACAACAGAGGCCCACCTGAATGACAACGGAGACCCACCTGAATAACACCAGAGACCCTCCTGAACAACACCAGAGACCCACCTGAATGACCACGGGCACGCAACCCGCAATCACGGCCATGGCGAGCGACGCATGCCAGCCGTGGCCCGCGGTGGCAAGGCAGAAGACGCTGTGCTCCATGCCACCATACGCCAGCTCCTCGCCGCCCTCCGGTACCACCTCCACCTTAAAGCCCGTCTCGCCGTCCCGCCCCGCGTACAGCTCAAACACCCGCTGCCGCACGCCAAAGCTGAACGGCGGCTCCCCTTGCTCCTTCCTCCCTGCCTGCACCTGCTGCTGCTCCTTGTTGTCTCCCTGCCGCTGCCCCCCCTGCTCCTGCGGGTGTGCCTCCTCGTCCCAGGTGCTGCTGCCGTCGCTCACATTCAGCCCTCGTACGAACAAAAGGTACTGTCGTTCCCTCCCACCCTGCCCCTGCCCACCATTCCCCTCCTCCTGCTGCTCCTGCCCCTGCTGCTGCACCTCTCCCTCCCCATCCGCACCTCCCTCCCTCACCAGCGCAGGCAGCCCTCCAGCCTCCCTCACCATACTCGCATTCTGCAGGAACCTCAGATGCGCCGAGGGCGGAATCACTATGTCCTGCCTGGGCCGGAAGCACGGGCCTCCGTCTGGCGTCCCGAGCATGTTGCAAGTGTACCCCCATGGAGTGAGGGTGATTGCGGAAGCTAGCCGCGGGTCCTCGAGCCCGTAGAGCTGCAGGGCGCACTTGCCGTACTCCTCGCTCACCAGGAAAATGTGGTCTGCCCCGCCCTTGGCGTCCCAGAAGGGGCCGAGCGAGCGGATGAAGGAAATGGTCTCTGAGATGAGCCGCTGCTTGCCACTGTCTCGGTTGCTGTTGGGGGTTCGGGAAGGAGGAGCAGAGGGAGGAGGAGGAGGGGCCAGGAAGGGCAAGGAGAGGGCACAGGGCGGGAGGGGCAGGAAGAGCGGAAGGGAAAGGACAGAAGGGTTAGGGTAGCAGGGCGAATTTGTTGTACTCCTAGCTGCGGAGAGGCACATAGAAGAATGTCAGCTTCAAGAGGATTGATGGAGCGGTGGTGAGGTGACTGGCGAGCAGCCCGAGAGGCTCTATCTGTAACACCGCCTAGCATTTAGCTCCACTGCACCAACCGGATGAGGAGAGGCACGTAGAAGAAGTCAGCTCCACGCGGGTCGATGGTGCGGTGGCGGCTGGCCAGAAGTCTCTCTCCCAGAACCAGTGGGCCTCTACCGGTATACAGCACCTAGCACCTAGAGCCACCCACCAGCACCTACCGGATGAGGAGAGGCACGCAGAAGAAGTCCGCTTCCCGCGGGTCGATGGTGCGGTGGCGGCTGGCCAGCAGGCGCTCCCAGGACCTGAGGGCCTCTGCCAGTGCACACCACTTATCACCTCAAGCCACCACACTTAACACCTAGAGCTAGTGCACCCAGAAGCACGCCGAACACATCACGTACCGGATGAGCAGAGGCACGTAGAAGTAATCAGCTTCACGCGGGTCGATGGTGCGGTGGCGGCTGGCGAGTAGCCGCTCCCAGAACCAGAGGGCTTCGGGGTGGTCGATGTAGGGCGAGTGCTGCATCTGCCATGAGTTGAACTGCGGAGGCAACTCGTACACATACACCCTCAGGGGCTTCCCCGCTGCTGCTGCTCCTGCTGCAGCTTTCACTCCTCCTGCTGCCATTGCTGCTGCTGCCCCTCCTCCGCCTGCTATTGCTGCTGCTGTTCCTCCTTCTGCTACTGCTGCTGTTTGTCCTGCGTCGTTCTGCTGCTGCTGCTGCTGCTGCTGCTGCTGCTCTTGCGCTGGTTGTGGCTGTGGGCTGAGGGAGGCTGCTGGCTGGATCTCTCCGCCTGCTGATGCTGCTGGTGATGCTGTGAACGTGTCACTCTCTGGAATGTCGGCCCAGGGAAAGGGCGACCCGGGGAGCCTCCTGATTGGTGGGCGGGGAAGGTGGAGGATGGGAAAGAGGAGTTGGCGATGGTGAGAAAAGGTTTCCTTTTCGCCTTATTGTGATAAGAGTGAGCAGATGGCAAAAAAAGAGCACACACAAGGTGTACCCCCCCCCCCCCCCCCCACCCACCTCAGACGCAGCTCCTCATTGTAATAGAGCGAGCAGTCGGCAACAAAGAAGCCGGCCTGGCACTGACACACAGACAGTACCGGCTAGCACACACGGGCTGCAACTGAAGCAAACTCTTTTTCCATCCCTCTCAACCTTCCCAGACCTCTCACCTCAGACGCAGCTCCTCATTATAGTAGAGCGAGCAGTCGGCACCAAAGAAGCCCGCCTGGCATTGACACACGCCCCCCTCGCAGTCGCCCCGCTGCGAGCAGTCGTTGAGACACGCCACTGAGAAGCTCTCGTCCTCACATGCACTGCCGTCGTGGTACCAAGGACACCTGGTTGCGAAGGGTTGTGGATGGGTGTGGAGGGGTTTAAAGGGGTTCTGAGTGGTTTTAAGGGGTGTGGAGGGTTGTGGAGGAGCGTGGAGATGTGTGGGGCGATGGGGCCCACCCACCCACATGTGTAAGTGAGTTGAGACACGCCACTGAGAAGCTCTCGTCCTCACACGCACTGCCGTCGTGGTACCAGGGACACCTGGCGGGGTTTGGAGGGGTGCAGAGGGGTGTAGAAGACAGACAGGCGAGTGAGTTGAGGCACGCTACCGAGAAGCTCTCGTCCTCACATGCACTGCCGTCGTGGTACCAGGGGCACCTGAGGAAGGGGTGTGGAGGGGTGTTGAAGGGTTTTGAGGGGTGTGGAGGTGTGTGGCCCACATGTGTGAGTGAGTTGAGACACGCCACTGAGAAGCTCTCATCCTCACATGCACTGCCGTCATGGTACCAGGGGCACCTGGGGAAGGGGTGTGGAGGGGTGCGGAGGAGTGTGGAGGTGTGTGACCCACATGTGCAAGTGAGTTCTTCCAAGCACGCAGTTGAGTAGCTCTCGCCCTCACACGAGCCTGCAAAGTGACCCACCCCATCCCGTCCTCCCCTCTTCCCGCCCCCTCCTCTCTTCCCCCCCTTTCCCCCTCCCTCCTTCGTACCTGCACTCCCAGACGGTGGCATCGCAGAGCCCACGTCCAGAGCAATAGTTGGGGCAGTTGTTGAGCGGAACAAGCCATGGGAAGGGGTGCGGCGGGAGGGGCGTGGAGGGGAACATCGTACACATACTACTTTCCTGTCCTGTGCCCCGCCCCCTCCTTCCTTCGTACCTGCACTCCCAGTAGGTGGCATCGCAGAGCCCACGTCCCGAGCAGTAATTGGGGCAGTTGTTGAGGGGAACAAGCCATGGGAAGGGGTGCGGTGGGAGGGGCGTGGAGGGGAACAGCAGTGGCGATGCCGTAACAGCCGCTGCAGCTGCTGCAGCAGCTGCTGCCTGTGATGCTTTTGATGATGCCTGGTTGCTGGACGCGCTGTTGCTGCTGCTGCTGTGGGTGTTGACGGGTGTGCTTATACTGAAGGGTTCTCGCGGCCCAGTTTCAGTGCCGTTGCCATCCGTCTGCAGGCGCAGTGGCATGCGCGTTATGATGGCCCCGATCGTTCGCTCCTTCCAAAAGGTGCCTGAGGAGGTGAGAGAGGGGGGAGAGAGGGACGGCAGAGGGGACGAAAAACCGTTAAAGGTAGAGCTAGGATTTTGGCAGAAAAGCGTATCATTATTCGTGGCAGGAAGCAGCGCTCACACTCGAGCGCACATTCACATCTGGATCCATTCAACTCGCCTCATTATGCATCATCCTGCCTTGAGGCATTACCATCGCATCACCATCTCATTACCCTTCAAACATACCGTTATTAGGGAAGCAGTACTAGTCGTGGGGCAGGAAGAAGCGATCGCACTCGAGCGCACAATCACTCTTTAAGTCCACTCGAGTCGCCTCCTCATGCATCATCCTTGCGCACCATCATCACGCCTCACTCACACATACCATTATCAGGGAAGCAGTATTCGTCATGGGGCAGAAAGAAGCGCTCGCACTCGAGCGCACAATCACTCTTTAAGTCCACTCGAGTCGCCTCCTCATGCATCATCCTTGCGCACCATCATCACGCCTCACTCACACATACCATTATTAGGGAAGCAGTATTCGTCATGGGGCAGAAAGAAGCGCTCGCACTCGAGCGCACAATCACTCTTTAAGTCCACTTGAGTCGCCTCCTCATGCATCATCCTTGCGCACCATCATCACGCCTCACTCACACATACCATTATTAGGGAAGCAGTATTCGTCATGGGGCAGAAAGAAGCGCTCGCACTCGAGCGCACGGTCACATCTGGAGTCCACTCAAGTCGCCTCATTATGCATAAATATTTCCTTGGCGCGACACCTTCACAACACCCCTCCCCTCGTGCGTACCGTTATTGGGGAAGCAGTATTCGTCATGGGGCAGAAAGAAGCGCTCGCACTCGAGCGCACAGTCACAGGAAGAGGGCAGGAAGCACGGCATCTCCACTCCCCACGCGTACCGGCACGAGGGTAACCCCAACTCCGTGCAGTCCACCCCCGTGTACCCGGGTAAACAGTCGCATCTACCCGCCTCCTCGTTGCAGGAGCCGTGGCGGGAGCAGGCGGGCGGGCAGCGCGAGGGGAGGAAGGATAGGCCGTCGGGGGGAGGGGGGATGACGGAGAAAGGGGAGTGGAAGCGCTTGGGCCATTTTGGGAGGGGCGCGAGAAGGAGGAAGAGGGAGAAGAGGATGAGAGCGAGTAGGAGCTTCGGAAGGGAGATGGAACGAGGGGAGCAGGAGAAGGGGAGGTGGAAGGGGAGGCGGAAGGGGAGGGGGAAGGGGAGGCGGAAGGGGAGGGAGGAGGGGGAGGAGTGAGAGGGTCGCGAGGGGAAGGAGGAGAGGGAAGCGGGATGGAAGGCAGCGCGAGGGGAGGAGGTGAAGGGCCAGAGTAACCGTGAGTAGGAGGGGGACCAGGAGGGGAATGAGGGGAGCGAGAAGGAGGGGGATTTGGAAGGGGTTGCAAAGAACGGCCGCGAACGGAAGGTGGCGGCCGGGCGAGCGGTTGACGAGGTGGCGAAAGAGGATCCGATGTTCAGGCTGGGCGGGTTACCACTCGGCTTCATCGCTCGACTACCCGCGCCGCGGGGAGTTCGGAGTGGGGTTCCGAGGGGGGGTTTGGGGGAAGTGGGGGCGCGGAGAGGGGAGTCCGAAGTGAGTGATGGGGGTTCGGAGTGGTAAGTGGGGAGGGCGGGGAGGCGAACCGGCCGACGAGTGGAAGAGAGACCGGATCTGGCTGTAGCGAGTGCAGGCGTCAAGCTCCGTGGATAACTACGCGCGAGTTCCTTGGAGAATTCTCAAAAAACACTCACGGAAATTGTGATGGAATGAGGCCGGATGATCCCCTCACCCTTGTCCGAAAACCGCGCTGCAGACGGAAAGGAGATTTTCCTATACGAGATTCTTGAGAATTCTGAAGAAAATTCGCCTTCTTTCGCTCGCCGATCGAGTTATAGGAGGAAATGCTTTGCGGGCTGTGAGGTTTGTTGTTAAGCAGCCTCAGACGCCGGCCAGCCGTGCACGTCGCTAATTCTTCGAGACGTCGCGAAAAAAGACTAACGGCGATTCTCCTCCGTCGTTTCTAGAGGCTACGTAAATGCCATCCGTCGATCGTGCGTCCTGCACGCTGAGGCAATTATGACGTCGCCCCACGCGTACCTAAGAAAACCACAGCGAGAAACAAGAACCTTTAAACAAAAGTGCCAGGACTGAAATGACGTGAAAAGGGGAGCCGTTGTGTGCTTCGACGTTGCTTGCTCTCCTTCGAGTCGCTGCTTGTCCCCGACGCCTACTCGCGCACACTTCTCAGCAGTGTGACGCGATTACCAAATGACGTCAGTACCCGGCAGCGATAGGGAATTATATACATGTCGGATATCCGCTGCTTCAGCCGCAGAAGCTAATTTGTCGACGTAGAAGCAGCAGCAGAAACTAATTTAGTCGCGAAAAGGCATTGCATCTTGTTTTGTACCGTTGCATGAGGGACTCGAAAGGAGGGTGGATTTGATGCTCAAGCTTACCGACAGGGCCATAAAAATTACTTTGAGTGTTCCGGAAAATGCGTAGATGCGGCAGTGTGTGACTGTATCGGTGAAAGTGAAAAGGATGGCAAGATCGGTGTGGAGGTGGTGCCTGTCACTCGATTGTGTATGTTTCGATTCATAAATAAAAGAATCGGCTCTACATTCAAAGTACAAGGAATCTAGGTACAGTATGAGTAAGATTTATACCAATCTGCAACTTACAACGTACACAATCTACAATGCTAATATGCCTGGACTGAACGTGCTTTCCCTCGCTTCTCTTCTCTCAGTTCACTCTGACGCAGCGCCAATCGCGTCGAATAGTCGGAGACATTTTAGGACTCGAAGTGATTCAGTTGCGAATTAGGACGCGGATCTTAGGCAAGTAAATGCAGGGCTGCGGATTGTTAGTTTGATACTTGATTTCACGCAGGTCGCAGTTTCATGTGACTCGCAGCTTCTATCCATTGTCATAACTATTCCCCATCAATAGCTAGTGCACGATCCGAGCTCGCCCTTAGTTTTTGTCTCACTGACTCCCCGTGCATGGTGGTACGCTTCAATAAAACAGCCTCATTATTATTGAAACCTAATGTTTTTCTCGGATACCTGATTACGCCAGTTGAGTGTTGAGCAAGGAAGCCTCGCGATGGCTCCTCCTTCCACGTCATCAGGATTTGTCAGCACCGTCCGATGTAAATATGCGACGGAGCAGCAGGTTCAGCGATGGCGCACGTCGTCGGATCCGATCGCCGCGACGACAGTCGTCGATTCGCCTCTGCGATTCATTTACGAGCTGTGCTGGACGGTGGTGAGTGCTGGACGGTGGTGAGTGATAGACTTTCAGACAAGTCAATTAGTATGGCTGACAGCTACGGATCACGTACTCATGCATATCAGTAGCCGCTAAATGCCGTTACGGGGTTTGAGCTCGCGAAACGACTTTCGCGTAATGCTCGTGCTCGTGTAGTACGGTAAATCGATCAACAAACGAGCGTTTTCAAGGATCAGAGCTCGTCAAGCTGACAGTAATCAGCCAGCCAAGCCTCGACAGTTGAAGCTGAGCCGACATTTCGATTCGTTGAGTCGGAGCCGAGTCAACCACCCGATAATGGCGTTTCCCTGCGGCCGCCTCTTGCATTGCATACCCTTTCTCTGCCTAGCCTGCTGTCGCACCGCCTAGGTGATCTCTCCGGCTCAATCCGATTCGTCCGTGGCTGCTCGTCTTGCCGCTGAAAGAGATCAACAAGGCTGAGATTACCAGTGTCATTTGCGACGGTGCCTGTGCTTGGCCTAGATTCCTGAGTAGTTAGAGTAGAGGTTCCTTTTACCGCTTTCTTTTTTGTGCTTACCCACTCCACAGAGTTCGGGTTTCATACCCGACCAATCACCGTCGCTGCGAAGAAAACGACCGTAGTAGTCACCGCATGAACAAATATACCAACCAGGACCGCAGAATACGGGACGTTAGATTGTCGCGAGAGAAACCCTAATTCGTCAGCTGTGGAGTTTCTGCATCCAGAGCACAAACAAATGCTGTCCCGCTTAACCGCCTGTTTTCCCGCCTCCCTTCTCTCCAGGTGCACGGCGACCTGCCACCCGCGCGGATCCCAGCCGCGCTGCAGTCCGCAGGCCTTCCCCTTCCGCCCTCTGCCTCCCTCGACGCGGGCGCAGGAACTGCCGCGGACCAGCGTGCGGCGGATGAGCAGTCCCCGCCTGCCCCAGATGTGCCCTCCCTCCTGGCCGACACTGTGGCTCAGCTGGCGTTCGAGGTACACTACGCTGTAATGTAGAGATATTGACATTAAACACATCTCAACCATGTAAACCCCGCCCCAGATGTGCCCGCCCTTCTGGAGGACACACGGTGGCTCAGCTGGCGTTTGAATTACGTTGAGTTGAACTGGATTGACTCTTGAGGATTCTAACAAGTCAACCCTGCTCAAAGTTGGGATGAAAGTCTCTGCTGTTTGTTCACCTCTGCCAACCAATCCCTTTGTTGTTTCGTTCTAAGGCCTGGTTCCAGAGCTCTGCCAACCAATCCCTTTGTGCATGCTTCCTGCTTGCTTCCTGCTTTGCTTGGCTCACTCACTCACTCACTCACTCACAGGTGTCTGGCCAGACTGACCTGCGTCGACGACTGGTGGAGCTGGTGAGTGCGGCAAAACAGGGAGATGAGATGAAACTGTGAGCGAGATGATGTGAAACTGTGAGATGGCGTGGAAGAGTGAGATGAGATGAAAGGCTGAGATGATTCCACATTCGGAGCTGAAATGTGAGGTAAAGCGGTGGGAGGGAGGAGCTCTGAGTGAGTTGATTATAAGGACAGCAGAGTGTGTCATCACGGCAGAAAATGTGAGCGGGATGAATCTGCGGCAGAGGGTGAATGAAGTGAAATGAAGCTGGAAATAGGAGGGTATTTCCATTGAGGGCGATGGCAGCACTCTCTGTGAAATGGCATAATGTGCATGTGCTCGCGTGTTTCTGAGAGCCATTTTCCCTCCATGCCTATTTCATACCGCACCCGCTCCCGTCTCGTCCCAATTCCATCTTCCTTTTCCCTTCTCTCTCTACAATGCCTCTGCCCTCCGTGTCTCTGTCTACATCAGACCAAGTGGCTGGCGTCCAATGGGGTCGTGACACCTCGCATGCTGCAAGATCGCTGTGAGGCAAGTGCAAGTGCACCCTCGTAGCAGCAGCAGGATACCCTTCGGTTCTTCCACTGGTAGAACAGTCTTTTCTCATTATTGCCCATCCACCTCCGTTCTTAAAGCCCATGTCTTCAAGCGTCATGTTCCAAAGAAGAAAAAGGCGCATGCCCGTCTCAGGAGGCTAGAGAACCAATCTTCACCCACCTTGCCGGCTCGCCCCTCACCTTCCCTCCTCTTTCTACTCCCCCCTCACCTACCCTCCCTCCCCTTGCTACCTCCTCCCCTCCCCCTCCTCCCCCCACCACACTCACTCCTCGCTACCTCGCCGCACCTCCACCTTCTCCATGCCCCCAGGAGGAGCTGCTGTGGGAGGCGGAGCTGATCAAGATGGAGCCCTCGGAGCTCAAGAAGAAATGTGTAAGCCGTCACTGCCAATCCACACCCACGCCCCCCTCTCACCTTCTCCCACCTCTCTCCCCCCCACCCCTCCACCCTCCTCTCCCGCCCGCTAGCCTGTTCTTTTCCGCCTTCACGTCCATTCCCTGGTTATGTGCTTGCTTGCTGTCTCTGCCCTGCTCTGCTCTGCGCTGAATAAATAATGCTCTGCGCTTAATAAATAATGCTCTGCTATGCCCCAATCTTAATCAAACAAGTTGGGTTTTGCATAGGCCTCCTGTGTGCGCCTCTGCCTGCTTTCCTGGTATCTGCCAGGTGCGTGCAAGTGGACCCTCACTCACTTGATGTACTCTACGAGCACGCCCAATTTTGAGTCATTTTAGAAGCTGTCTTTCTTCCGTCTCTGCTCCTCTCTGTTCGCTGCCTGCCTGCCCCGTTCACCTGGCAGGTGCGAGTGAACACACGACTTGTGTACACACAGACCAAGTTCAACCTGCTCCGAGAGGACTCCGAGGGATATGCAAAACTGGTGAGAGAGAGAAATGGAGAGATTGAAAGATGTATTGTAACGTAATATCCAGGTGACGTTTGAGTCAACTTGAAGACACACAGACCGAGTTCAATCTGCTCGAATGAATGAATGAATGCTCCCCCAACCCCAACCCCACTGCACAATGAGGAGGATGGGAAAAGGGAGGGAGAAATAAGAGGGTGGAGGATCTGATTGATTGACTGCCACATTACTTAGTGAGCGGTGTTTTTATTTGAGGCTTTCAAAAGACTTGAGTCAGCTCGTTCTGTGATTCTACATGTGGTATGTGAAACATCATTCGTGATAATCTACCTCAATGATACGTAATTTCTGGCTCCTTGTTCCATACTACTGGCAGATCACCATACTGAGTCAGAAGGGCCCTCTAGGACTCAACTCACGATCAGCCAGTGCTGTGGTGGATGCTGTAAAGGTGAGTGAGTGGCTGCTATTAGTGGCGGATGTTTAAAGGTGATTTGCTTTAATTGCTGTTGGATGCAGACACTGCAGACAAAACTCCTGCTTAAGCAACCATTGCTGACTGTTGTGCTCTCACTCGCTCTCACATTGTCCTCTATGCTCCTCTCCTTAGTGGAGAAAGACACGTCCTGCGTCTAGAACGCTTGCGTCCAGACGCAGCATCTTAGACGCAGGACGCTAGAGGAGGGCCTTTAGGACGCATGAAAAGACGCATGCCCGGGCAGTGCAAAAAATGTTGTAACTGTATCTTATACACAACATACATAGGCTAGAATGGTGTAGCTCTTTATGTTCTTGGGGGGTTGGGTGTACACTCCAACCACATTTTGTGGTTGGTCAAGGTTGGGTTTGGTCTTGGTCCTTGGTTGGCACTTGCCAACTTTTGGTCCTAAGGCCTACCAATCACAACCTAGCAACATTGTGGGGTTACCTACTCCACAAGGCATCTCCCCCATTGGCCAACTTAGTGGCCAATAGGGTTTGCTCCTTCTTCACCCCTCTCTTGCTTGCATGCTTGTACTATAGAGCCTCCATGGCTCATTATTCAACTACTCTTGAATTCTATCATGGTATTCAGAGCCAAATGGCTCACGCCACCTTCCCTCGATCCTCATGTTGTAATTCCCTCCCCGCTCCCTTACCCTAGCGGACTATGACCTACATCGGCCCACCCGCTCCTCAGATCTAGCCTCCCGCGGCTCAGTTCCGCCTCCCGCACCTCAGATCTAGCGTTCCGCGGCGTAGATCTCCTCCTCCGCGGCCTCAATCCTCCCTCCCGCAGCCTCTATCCTCCCTCCCGCAGCCCCAAACCGCTCCCCCGTGGCAGCAATCCTTCTTCCCGCCGCCACGCCTCCATCTGCCCGCCAACGCGTCCGACCTCCGCGCCGACGCGGACGACCAGCGCGGCGACGCGGATGACCTGCGACCGCCGCGGACGGCCAGCGCGCGACCCCCGACGACCAGCGCGCTGCCGCGGACGGCCAGCGCGGCCCCGCCGACGACCCGGGCGCTGACGCGGACGGCCAGCGCGGCCCCGCCGACGACCCGCGCGCCGACGCGGACGGCCAGCGCGGCCCCGCCGACGACCCGCGCGCTGACGCGGACGGCCAGCGCGGCCCCGCCGACGACCCGCGCGCTGACGCGGACTGCCAGCGCACGGCCACGAACGAACCGCGCGCCACCGCGGACGGCCAGCGCGCGACCGTCGACGCCCCTGCGCTGACGCGGACGGCTGGCGCGCAGCCGCGGCTGATCTGCCCGCCGTCGCGTTCGCCTGCCCGCGATCTCCACGACCTCGAAACCCTAATTCCTCCCCGCACTTCCGCACTAGCCTCTCTTCCCCTCTACCTCCTCCCCCTACTCCACCCCTAACGGCACCAGCAGCAGCAGCGCATCGCGGCGGCAGCAGCAGCGGCATCGGCGGCGGCAGCAGCAGCGGCATCGGCGGCGGCAGCAGCAGCGGCATCGGCGGCGGCAGCAGCGGCGGCGGCACCAATACCAACAGCAGCAGCGGCGCCTTCACCCCTCCGCCGTCATGGCGTCATCCGACTCCTCGGTCGATCTAGCGACCATTGGCGCCCTCGAGCTGCTCGGCGACAACTCGGCCGCCAACTGGCACTCCTATGCTCACTCCGTCGAGGTGTTGCTCTCCTCGGTCATCGTCAGTGGTTATACACTCCGCTCCGTCGTGTTCCAGGAGGAAGGCGGACTCCAGCCCATCGCCCCTTCTGCCCCCACCGGACCTCCTCCTGATGAGCCCGGACCTGAGCCCGAGCCCCCTGGTGATCCTCCCTCCTTCGCACCGGATGTCAACAATCCTCAAAGCGTGGAAACTGCCATCCGTGCCTACCGCAACACACTCAACGACCACCTTCGCCGTCAACTGCGCTATGAGGACGACAAGCGCGCCTACGACGAGGCTGCTGCCCGTCACCGCGACTACCACGCCCAACTCACCACGTACACTACACGCCTCGCTAACTACACCTCCGACATCGCTGCGTGGCGCATTGCTGACTGTCGAGCTCTCTCCATCCTCCTCGCCACTATCCCCTCCTCCCTCAAGCGAGAACTCTCACCCACCTCCTCCTCCCACCTGTAGCAACTGCTTGTTGACCTCTTTGACCGGCAGGACATTGCCACCCTCTATGCCCTCATCAAGGAATTTGGATCCATCACCATGGATTCCACTGCCGGCGCAGCCGCCTTTACTCGCCGCGTCCTTGACCTTGCTCGCCGCCTTGCAGCACTTGGTGTTACCTACCCTGACACCGTCATCTGCTGCCACCTCCTCGAAGGCCTCACTCCTGCCTTCGATGCCCACAAGCTGGCCTACATGCAACTCCTCTCCAAACATGACACTCCCGCTCAAGTTGCCCAGTGGATTATCACCACCGAGGCAGAAATCCTTCGCCACTCCTCCTCCACTGCCGCGGTAGCACAGCAGCGCAGCGGCAAAGGCGGAGGTGGAGGGGGGCGTGGAGGTGGGCGTGGAGGTGGTCGAGGCGGCTCTAGCGGTCGTGGTGGTGCGGGTCGTGGTGCAGCAGCGGCCTTCCCACCCTGTCAGTATCTTCCCCTTTATGGCCCCACCCGAGGCCAACGCTGCAACCAAACCACTCATGCAACTGAGACGTGCTTCAAGGCACTCAGCGATGAGTGGTTCGCTCGTGGGAACTCTGGCACCCCTCCTCGCTGGTCCGCCCTTAATCCCCGCCCCACTCCCCTCGACGTTCGCACCTCTCCCCTCTACGCTCCTTCCTCCTCCTCCCAGGCCCACCAGGCCTTTGCTCTCCCCTCTCAGCAGCAGCAGCAGCAGCATCAGCAGCAGCAGCAGCAGCAGCAGCAGAAGCAGAGTGTCCAGCAGCAGGGACCGCAGCAGTACGGGCAGCAGCTTCAGCAGCTCCAGCAGCAGCTTCAGCAGCTCCAGCAGCGGCTCGACCTCCAGCCCCAGCTTCCTCTCCTCCCACCTCCTCCTGTCCCCCAGCAGCAACCGTTTCCCGGCTGGACTGCTGGGAATGCAGCCTCTGCGGCCCACCTCTCCGGTCCCTCCCCTTCGCCGTCCACAGGTGGTAGTGTGACCCCCTTTCCCTCCTCTGGCTTTGTTGGTCTGCTTAGTCAGCCTCCCTCTGTTGCATCCCCTATGTATGCCCCTGCTACTAATGAAACTTCCATTCAGTACTCCGCCTCACCCTCCTCCACCCTTGAGTTCGTCTTGGATAGTGGAGCCACTGACAATGTCTTTCGCGATGCTGGCAAACTCCATTCTCTCCCCACACCCACGTCCCTCCTCGGCGCTGACAGCAGCTTTTCCATCCCCTGTCACAACACGTCCACCCTTCCCTGTCCTCTCTTTCCCTCAGGTATCGTCACAGGTCTTCACATTCCCTCCCTTCGCACTAACCTCCTCTCCCAAAGGTCCCTCCAACAATCCATGATCACCACTGTCACCCCAGGAGGTGCTAACCATTGTGACCTTTTCCAAACCTCCACAGGTCGCTTCCTCGCCCGCATTCCCTACTGTCACCGCTCCCGTCTATACACCCTTCGGGTTCCTCGCCCCTTCACCTTCCAAGTTGCCTCCCCCCCCCTCCTCCCCTCCCTCCCACTAACCCACCCGTCCCCCCCCCGCCCCCCTGACTCTGACTGCTCATGTCGCTCCCTCTCCCACCCTGCTATCCTCCTCCATCACAGGCTAGGTCACCCCAACTTCGCCACTCTGCGCTCCTCTGTATCCTCCGGTCTCCTCCACGGTCTCCCCTCCTCCCTCCCTCCCCTCCCAAAGTCCCCTGCCCCCCCTTGCGTCGTTTGTGTTCAGAGCAAGCTCAAGCAGCAGCCGCACCGGAGCTCCCCCTCCGTTGCAGCCCAGCCACTTGATCTTGTTCACATGGACCTCTGGGGCCCTAACCCCTCCCCCACACGCCAAGGCCATCGCTACCTCCTCGTGCTCGTCGATGATCACAGTCGGTACTCGTCCGTCTCTCTCCTTCGGACGAAGGCGGACGCCCCGACTGCGATCATTGCCTGGCTCGAACAGGCAAACACCCACTTTGGGCGCCCTGTTCGCCGCCTCCACTCTGATGGTGGTGGTGAGTTCCTTAACAACCAGATCTCCTCCTATTGCCAGTCCCGCGGCATTCTTCAGACTTACACCCTCCCTCACTCCCCACAGCAGAACGGTGTCGCTGAGAGCCGTGTTCGGGAGATCACCAAAACGGCTCGGTGTCTCCTTGTCCACGCCTCCTGCCCCCCTTCTCTGTGGGGCTACGCCCTCCTTCATGCCGCCCTCCTTACTAACCTTTACCCTCACCCCCTCCTCCCCTCCACCACCCCCACTGAGCTATGGACAAAGGACAAACCCGATGTCTCCCCTCTTCGGGTCTGGGGCTCAAAGGCATATGTCCTCATTCACCCATCTGACCGATCCCGTTCCCTAGGAAAACTTGCCCCTCGTACCCTTCCCTGCATCTTCCTTGGTCATAACCCCTCTTCCCCCGACTATCTTTTCCTCCACCCCCCCTCCGGTCGACTAATTCGCAGCAGGGATGTCGTCTTTGACGAATCCACCCCATACTATTCCTCTCCTCCGTCCACTGACCCACTCCCACCTCTGACTCGTCCCCTTGTCTGGTCTGACACCACCCCTCCCCCTCTCCTCCCTCCTCCCCCCATCCTCCCACCCCCTTCCCCACCGCCCCCCCAGTCCCACGGTGCCCCTCCCTCGTCTGGTGACATCTTTGACCCGGACCCCCTGTCTTCCCCTGTCTCCCCCGCTCACTCCTCCCCTGGTGCCCCTCCTCCCCCTCCCTCCCAACCCTCGCCTCCCTCCCCCCCTCCCCGCACCACACTCACCCGGTATCCTCACACCAGGTCGTGCGACGGTATTCTTGGTGCACCGCCCCCTGTTACCCTCTCTACCTCTACCCTCCCCCCTCTTTCCCCCCTTCTTCACCACTTCTTCCAGGCTGTCCTGCATCAAGCCCCTCATGCACCCGCCCCCTCTACTACCTCTCCAGCAGCGGCAGCAGCAGCAGCTCCAGCAGCCACCGCAGCGGCACCAGCAGCGGCAAGTGCAGAGGCACCAGCAGCGGCAACCGCAACGGCACCAGCAGCGGCGAGTGCAGCGGCAGCAGCGGCCTCGGCAGCGGCACCAGCAGCGGCGGCACCAACAGTGGCACCAGCAGCGGCACCTGCGGTCATCCGCGCCTTCCACACCTCCCTCTCTGAGGACTCCCATGAGGAGTTCCTTGACCTCCACCTCTCTGACCCCTCCCTCCTTCCCATCACCTCTGACCTCTCTGGAACACCAGTCTTCGCCTTTTCCTCCGCACCCTCCACCTTCATCCCAACCACGTATGAGGAGGCCATGGCTTGTCCCGACGCCCCGCTCTGGCTCGCCGCCATCATCAAGGAGCTCGAGGCGTTTATTGCCAACTCCTCCTTCGTTGATGTGCCTCGCCCTCCCCCCTCTACGAACGTGGTCAAGGGGAAGTGGGTGTTTCGCGTCAAGCAGCTGCCAGGAGAACCGCCCGTCTACAAGGCCCGGTATTGCGCCAAGGGCTTCACGCAGCGGTATGGCTTTGACTTCTTCGACACCTTCTCCCCCACCGCCAAACCTGCTACCGTTCGCGCCGTCCTCGACCTCGCCGCTCGCCTCAACATGGAGATCCACTCGATGGATGTCTCCAACGCCTTCCTGCAAGGCGTACTACGTGAACTGATCTACATGGAGCGCCCAGCGGGCTTCCACCTCCCCTTCCCCGCTGACTTTGTCTGGCAGCTGCGCCGCCCAGTGTATGGGCTCCGCCAGGCTCCCAGGGAATGGCATGCCAAGCTTGCTGCCACCCTCGTCAAGCTTGGGTTTCGCACCTCCCGCTCCGACGCCAGCCTCTTCCTCTGCACCTCCCCCTCCCCCTTCTACATCCTCGTCTATGTTGACGATATGATTCTTCTCACTACCGATCCTGCCGAGCTCGAGACTGTCAAGACGGAGCTGGGCAGCCGTCTCAAGTGCAAAGACCTGGGAGAGCTGCAGCACTACCTCGGCATGACCATCACTCGCGACCGCTCCGCCCACACCATCTCTCTCTCTCAGGGCCACTACCTCCAGCAGGTCTTAGAACGGTTTGCAATGGCGCGCGGTAACCCCCAGCCCACTCCCCTTTCGGTCGGGCACCACCTCTCCCCACCCTCCTCTCCCTCTCCCTCCTCCCATCCTTATCCTGAACTCATCGGCTCTCTCATGTACGCCATGGTCTCTACTCGCCCTGACCTTGCCTACCCCATCAGCGTCCTCGCTCGCTTCGTTGGCGCTGGCAAGCATACGGAGGAGCACTGGCAGGCCGCCAAGCGCGTTCTTCGCTACATTCGTGGCACCAAGGACTATGTCCTTACCCTTGGCGGCCCTTCCCCACCCCTCCTCCACGGCTACAGCGACTCTTCCTGGGCTGACTCTCGACCGGATCGGCGGTCCTCTCAGGGTTATGGCTTCTCTCTGGGCAGCGGCCTCATCAGCTGGCGGTCCACACGCTCCTCTGCCGTCGCCCTCTCCTCCTGCGAGGCAGAGCTCTACGCTGCAACCATGGCCGCGCAGGAGGCGCGCTGGCTCACCTTCCTCCTTGATGAGCTTGGAGCCCCCCAACGCTGTCCCACCATCTGGTATGACAACGCTAGCACCATCCACCTCACCAAGGATGCTGTGTATCATGGGCGCTCCAATCACATTGAGCTCCGCTACTTTTTCATTCGTGAACTCGTTGAGGCCGGCCATCTTCGCCTTGGCAAAATCGACTCGGCGGCCAACCTCGCTGACATCTTCACCAAAGCCCTTCCCCAGGCGTCCCACTCCTTCCTTCTGCGCCTCCTTGGCCTCACCCCTCCTCCGGTTTTGGCGGCCTCCTGATTCCATTTTCTAGCCTTATGCCTGTTGGGGGGTTGTGTTGTAACTGTATCTTATACACAACATACATAGGCTAGAATGGTGTAGCTCTTTATGTTCTTGGGGGGTTGGGTGTACACTCCAACCACATTTTGTGGTTGGTCAAGGTTGGGTTTGGTCTTGGTCCTTGTTGGCACTTACCAACTTTTGGTCCTAAGGCCTACCAATCACAACCTAGCAACATTGTGGGGTTACCTACTCCACAAGGCATCTCCCCCATTGGCCAACTTAGTGGCCAATAGGGTTTGCTCCTTCTTCACCCCTCTCTTGCTTGCATGCTTGTACTATAGAGCCTCCATGGCTCATTATTCAACTACTCTTGAATTCTATAAAAAAAAACCCCCGGGCAGCCGAAAATTGATGTTATAGGGTATGGGAAGGGGGGGGGGAACGACGATGCACACATTTGAGGCAAAATCGTCCCCTTTAAACTTCCAGGGTTTAGGGTTTACAAAGGAGAATTGTCTTGGTAAACCTTCTAGGGTGTTTTTGATGGTCTAAATGGGTTAGGGGGGGTCGACATGACGCGAAATTGACAGTCGCGTCGAAATCGTTGAAGTCAATTTCGCGCTGAGGCATTTTTTTTTCCGGTCAGCCCGAAAAAAAACGGGGTGCGTCCTGCGTCTCTGCGTCTGGACGCTGCGTCCAGACGCAGGACGCAGCAGGACGCGTGCGTCTTTCTCCACTAAGCTCCTCTCCTCTCTCCTCTCCTCTCGCCTCTCTCTCTCCTCTCCCCCTCTTCTCTTCTGTCTGTCCCCCTTCCCTGCCAGTCACTCATCGGCCTCTTTGACCTGGACCCCAACCGCATGTTCGACGTTGTCACATTGTCCCCTACTCCCCCCTCCCCCTTCCTCCCCACCCTCCCTCCCCCCCCTTCCTCTGTCTGTCCCGCGTTCCCTGGCAGTCTCTCATCGGCCTCTTTGACCTGGACCCCAACCGTGTGCTTGACATTGTCCTGTACGCCCCTCCCCCCCTTCCTCCCCACCCCGACCCCTCCCTTCTTCCCTGGCAGTCTCTCATCGGCCTCTTTGACCTGGACCCGAACCGGGTGTTTGACATTGTAAGAATAGCACCACTGGCCTATTTTATCAGGCTCACAGAAACGTGGAAGTGCCATGCCATGCCATGCTCATCATGTCATTGCATGCCATTCGTTCACATGCCATGCTCACCACATGCTCAGCTCAGCTCAGCTCACTGCATGACATGCTTGTCGTCCGTACATCACTCCACATACCAGAGCCTTTTCTCTGAATCCTGGCCTGTCTCTTGCATCCTTATCCCCCATCCCTCCCTCCCTCCCTCCCTCCCTCTGTATTCCTTCTCTCTCTGCTCTCTCGCTCTGCCGTTTTCGCCGCGTGTGTCTGTCTCTCACATCACACCAGGTGCTCGACTGCTACGAGATGCACCCCACCAACTCTGCCTTCCTCCACCTCGTCAAGCTCTTCCCTGAGGTGCGTGCTGGTGGTGGATGCTGTGCGGTGCAGTGCTGTGGGGGCCTGTGCTGCGTGGTGCTGTGCGTGCGGTCTCTTGCAGTGACATTTATGCGAACATTTATGTGGCTCCTCGACCATCGCTGTTTCAGTCGGCTTCCACCTCCCGGTCCCTCCCTCCTGATCATCCTGCAGTCGCACGCGCCTCAGATCCTGGGGTTCAAGGTCAGCCATTACCACCCCCTCACCGCCACCGCTGCTGCAGCGGGGAGCACAAGAAGCTAACATGTCACACACCCTTCCACGCTCCCCCCTCCAACCCCTTCTCCCCTGCGCCTTTCAGTCGCACGCGCCCCAGATTCTCGGGTTCAAGGTCAGCCACTACCACCACCTCACCGCCACTGCTGCTGCTGCTGTAGCGGGGAGCAGCAAGAAGTTAACACGTCACACCCTTCCATCTCCCACTCTCCCCCCTGCCCCCTCAGTCGCACGCGCCTCAGATCCTGGGGTTCAAGTTCAGCCACTACCACCGCCTCACCGCCACTGCTGCCGCCGCTGCTGCTGCTGCTGCTGCTGCAGGAAGCAAAGGGGGGAAGGAGGGCGGGGGGAACAGCAAGGGAGAGGGTGCAGGGGGGGAGAAAGGAAGTGCAGTAAAAGCGGGGGCAGGGGGAGCAGGTGGTGATGGCGAGGGAGGAGAGAAGGGGGAGGGTGGCAGTGGGGCGGAGGGGCGGATACCAGACAGCCTGTTTGTGTTGGCAGCTAACTGCCTCAAGAGCAACGTGGTGCAGCTCGCTGCCTTGTGAGTCGCATGCTTGCTTGTGGCTTGTGGTAATCGGTGCTAGGTTTCGTTGTCTTGGAGAGGTCAAGAACAGCTCACAGCATACCAGGCAAGAACAGCTCACAGCATACCAGGCAAGAACAGCTCACAGCATACCAGGCAAGAACAGCTCACAGCATACCAGGCAAGAACAGCTCACAGCATACCAGGCAAGAACAGCTCACAGCATACCAGGCAAGAACAGCTCACAGCATACCAGGCAAGAACAGCTCACAGCATACCAGGCAAGAACAGCTCACACCATACCAGGCAAGAACAGCTCACAGCATACCAGGCAAGAACAGCTCACAGCATACCAGGCAAGAACAGCTCACAGCATACCAGGCAAGAACAGCTCACAGCATACCAGGCAAGAACAGCTCACAGCATACCAGGCAAGAACAGCTCACAGCATACCAGGCAAGAACAGCTCACAGCATACCAGGCAAGAACAGCTCACAGCATACCAGGCAAATAGTTTAAAGAGCATACCCTACTCTCACCCTGCGTTTGTCCCTGCGTGGCCTGGGCTCGTGCGTGTGTGGCAGGTACCCGTTCTTGGACCCGCCAGACGAGGAGGCAGAGGCACGCAGCAAGGAGATGAACGCACAGAGAATAGCGGATGTGAGTTGCTGCGCACACAGACATGTAAATTGTTGCTCAGCAATTTACAGTTGCCAGCTCACGGTGCAGGCTATTCGTGCACTGCTTGTCTGCTATTCGTGCACTGCTTGTCTGCTATTCGTGCACTGCTTGTCTGCTATTCGTGCACTGCTTGTCTGCTATTCGTGCACTGCTTGTCTGCTATTCGTGCACTGCTTGTCTGCTATTCGTGCACTGCTTGTCTGCTAGTTGTGCACTGCTTGTCTGCTAGTTGTGCACTGCTTGTCTGCTATTCGTGCACTGCTTGTCTGCTAGTTGTGCACTGCTTGTCTGCCTGCCCTCCGCACTCTGCTCTGCTCACTCGCCGCTGCCTTCCCCCTATGCCAGCCCCCCTTATGCCACCTCCCCGTTCGCTACCCCCCCTATCCCCACATCTCCACTTTCCACCTTTTGTCGCGTCCTCCCTTCTCCACCCCACACGCCACCCCCTGCCCACATCACCATCTGCTCGCACCCTCATTTCTTTGCGTTCTCCATCTCCCCTCCCCTCTCTCCCGCAGGTGAACCGCATAGGAAAGATCAACCTGGCAGCGACGGGGAGGGACTTGACAGACGACCCGTAGCCAGCAGACGTGTTGATCAACCTGTACGGGGCAGTGGACGGGCAGGAGAGCGCTGCTCCTTTTCAAACACCCGCTTTTCTCCCCTCCCCCCTCGCCCCTCTCCTTTTTTTTTGCGGCCGAATCGTCCCCCATTCTCCCCCGTTCCCCTGCATTCCGCTCCCCCCCAGGTGAACCGCATAGGAAAGATCAACCTAGCAGCGACGGGGCGGGACCTGACAGACGACCCGCAGCCAGCAGACGTGACGATCGACCTGTACGGGGCGGTGGACGGGCAGGAGAGCGCTGCTGCCAAGGAGTGGGGCGAGGCGGAGGGCAACGATAAGATGCGCCTGCTCAAGGCGCTGCTGCTGGTGGATGACTGGTGAGTTGATGATGCTTGCCTTGTGCTTGCTTCTCACTTAACCGAGGAGTGGGGCGAGGCGGAGGGCAACGATAAGATGCGCCTGCTCAAGGCGCTGCTGCTGGTGGACGACTGGTGAGTTGATGATGCTTGCCTTGTGCTTGCTTCTCACTTAACCGAGGAGTGGGGCGAGGCGGAGAGCAACGAAAAGATGCGCCTGCTCAAGGCGCTGCTGCTGGTGGATGACTGGTGAGTATGTTCTCTTTCTTCTAACTGTCTTCTTTGTTGTGTGTGTTTGCATGTGTGTGTGTGTGTGTGTGTGTGTGTGTGTGTGTGTGTGTGTGTGCGTGCGTGCGCGTGCGTGCGTGCGTGCGTGTGTGTGTGTGTGTGTGTGTGTGTGGTTTCTCGTCTTTGCGTAAGCTGACTGCTTGGATGATAGTTGCGCTTCGACGACCTCGATGCTTTTGAGGTGATTCACACTCCTTGCTTCCATCCACTCCTCTAACACCTGAAGCCGCCCCACCCATCCTCCCCCGCACACAGCAGGCCCCATGCGCAGCAGCTGCTGGCTGGCTGGAGCACCTGAACCCCTTTTGGCTGGCTGGCTGGAGCACCTGAGCCAAAAGGGGTTTAGTGCCTCCCCTCACCACACTTAGGCAAATAAGACTCTGAGTTGAGTTCTCCCCACCCTTTCTCCCACCCACCCACCCACCCTCCCACCCACCCATCCACCCATCTACCCATCCATCATCCCACCCACTAGGCCCCATGCGCGGCAGCTGCTGGAGCACCTGAGGCTGCTGCACCCCGTCGCCCACCCGCCCATCTGCACCGCGCTCTGCTCGTATGTCTCCACCGCCCCCGTGCCCTGTGCGCTCATGTGTGTGTGCCCATGCATGCAATGCAACGCCCTGTGCCATGTGTGCCCATGCATGCAATGCAACGCCCTGTGCCATGTGTGTGTGCCCATGCATGCAATTGCCTCATCCCGTTATCATGCACATGTATGCCACCACGACTGCATGTATATCCTGCTGTTGCACAGCACCGGAGTGATTGGGACAATGCATTTGTGTGAATGCCAACTCTCTTTGATCGTGTCACTTCTGTGTTGTCATCTTGAATTGAACATGCCGTAACTCGTGTCAGGGTTGCACATTTTCATCAAATGTGTGCCAATCGAATGTGAACAAATAAAAACTCATCTCATTCTGATCTCTCTCCTTCCCCTACTCCCCCCCCCCACTCCACCACCCGTCCAACCAGCCTCATATCCCGCTCCATCGCCCCGGCTTACCATGCAGTCCGCCCAGCCTACCTTCTCAACCTCAAAGCCCAACCTTCTGCCGATGCTACCTCGTCACCGAACCTGCCTTTCAGCCTCGGTGCTTCCCGAGGCTCGGATGGAGATGTGGATATGGCTGAAGCCGGCCAGGTGGAAGGAGTGGCAGGGGGCAGGAGGAAAGGGGAGAGGGCGAGGGGGGACGAGGAGGATGGAGAGGGGGAGGGGGAGAAAGACAGAGGAGTGGGAAGGGGGGTGATGGAGAGCGGGACAGGCGGGGCGCGGGTGCCTGGGAGGGTGTTTGAGATGCTTCGCTTCCTTGGGGCGTTTCTATACCAGGACACCATTCTGCTGCAGAAGGTGAGGGGTGAGACTGGGGGAATGGGCTTCAAGGGGGCTCCGAAATTGAGATGCTTCGGTTGCTGCATGCAGGCCTTTCTGCTGTACCAGGATTCCATTCTGTTGCAGAAGGTGAGAAGTGACTGGCCGGTGGGCTTTAAGGGTTCTGAGATTGGAATCTTTTGGAGCGCGTGTTTCCATCACCTCACCATGTCTACCTAGATATGAGCACGAACCGAACTCAAACATGTTTGCTCAAACTTTTGCGAACCTTGCATGATGGTCGAACCGAACCGAACATGTTTGCTCGAACTTTTTTTAGAATTCTGAGGTTTGAGGTTTGAGTCTCTAATAGCGAACCCTAAAGGTTTGCTCAAACCATGAAAGGTTTGAGCGAACTCGAACCTAGTTCGGTTTGAGGTTACGAGAGGTGCATAAGGAAATGTAAAACGCTTGCGGAACACGTTCGGACGGCCCCTCTTGGCGCTCCCTGACGGCCCCATTGCGGGGCTGGCCGGGATTCGTCATGCTTGATGTTTAGGGTTTAGTCCCTAAGAAACGGAATGCTTGGACTAATCCCTACAAAACGGAATGCTCTGCTGCAGGCCTAACCATAATTTATGCTCACTGTAATTTCTAACCTAAATGCATGACGCATCTTAAGAGGAATGTCTAGTTAAAGAATTGTAGAGGGGGAGCTTGAATCTGGTACTTAAGAGCAGATACAGATCTGCTCTAGTTAAGTTACGAGTTTAGGGTTGGCTGCCGTGAAATGGCAGCCAACCCTTCGACTTTCCCGTTTTTGACGGGAAAGTCGCGTGGGATTTGGCGGGTGCCTAATTCGAACCCCACGCTGTTCGAATTAGACAGTTTCGAACTTCAAACCTGTTCGGTTCGAAGTCCTAAACTCGAACCTAAAAAGTTTGTGCGAACAGTTCGCGCAAACTTTTTAGAAGTTTGCTCAAACTTTTTTTACTAGAAAAAAAGTTCGGTTCGAGTTAACTCGAACCTGTTTGAGCGAACCGAACCTAGGTTCAGTTCGTTGCTCATATCTATGTCTACCTGTCATCTGCATGCCATTCGTTGAACTTACTTTTCACCAAACCTCTGATCACTCTTTTTTCCCTTTTCCACTCTGCTCTTTGATTGCTGTTTTGCATGGCGTGTCACACACCTCCTCACCGCACCACACCGCCCCACATCACATCGGCCACACCATTTGCACCGCACCACACTCCCCTATCCCACAACGGCACATCCCCAGCTGTGCAAGGTGCTCAAGGCGGACCTCCTCCAAGCCCGTGCCGCCGCTGCAACTGCTGCCGCCGCTGCCGCCACAGCCGCTGCATCAGCTGCCTCCTCCGCTCCTGCAACTCACTGTAACGGCCTTTCTCTTGCCGTGCTCACACCACCACCTGCAGCAGCAGCCAACGGCCCCATTTCTGCTGAACCCGGCTCTTCGCTCGCTTCCCCTGACACCGCTGCTGCTGCTACTACTGCAACACCAGCAGCAGCAGCAGCAGCCGCTGCAGCAGAGGCAGCAGCAGCGGCAGCAAGGGAGGTGGAGGGGGGGGTGGTGGAAGCACTAGAGGCGTCGCTGCTGCCGGCGCTGCAGGCGGTGGTGGCGAGTCCGCCGGTGTGCATGCAGCTGTGGGAGGTGCTGGCCTGCCTGCCCTTCCAGGAGCGCTACCGGCTGTATGGCGAGTGGGAGAAGGAGACCGAGACCAACCCTTTGGTTCTGGCTGCCCGGCAGATTGCACGGGTGAGTCAGTCAGGGGGTGGAAAGGGTGCTGAGAAGTCCAGTAGCACTAGATCCTCTGCTGGTGGCGAGTCCGCCGGTGTGCATGCAGCTGTGGGAGGTGCTGGCCGGCCTGCCCTTCCAGGAGCACTACCGGCTGTACGGCGAGTGGGAGCGGGACAACGAGACCAACCCCCTGGTGCTTGCTGCCCGGCAGATTGCCAGGGTGAGTGATAACAGTGCAGTTCAGGGTAGTAAGTGAGTGGGTAGTGTACTGGGGTGATAAATTTGATTGGGTAACCCAGCAGCGCTGAATTTGGCCGCTGGCTTTGCTGGTGAAGGTGCTTCGAGGGATAGAGGCTCTGTTCTCCTAGGGTGCGTGGGTGGGTGAAGAAGACGCGGTTCGCACACAGATGCACGTCTTTTTCCTCCCTCGCCTTCTCCGCTTACTCCCCTCCTCCCCACCGCCCTCTCCCAACCCTCCTCTCCCAATTCCCACATATATATTTTTTCTTTGTACCCGTTCCTCCCCCCATGCCCAGCCCCCCCTTTTCATCCCCTCTCCCGCCCTCCCCCCATTTAGCTGGGCATGCGGTGCACGCTGAGGCGGCCGGCGAAAGAGAATCTGAAGGCAACACTCTGAGCATCACGTGCCTTTTCCAATGAACCTGTTCCTCTCCCCACCCGATACAAGTTGGGTTTTGAGACGCCTCAGAACCCAACTTTTATGATGTGGTGGTGAAAGAGAATCTGAAGGCCACAGTCTGAGCATCACGTGCCTTTTCCAATGCACCCGTTCATCCCTCCTTACCCCCCACTGCCCACACCGCCAGCTGGACACGCGGAGAACACTGAAGCGGCTGGCGAAGGAGAATCTGAAGCCAACGGGGCGCATGGTGGCGAAGCTGGCTCACTCCAACCCGCTCACCGTGCTGAGGACCATCGTGGTGCAGGTGGGTGCTGCTGCTGCCCTGTGCACTGCACAGTAACAGGCAGCGAAATTAGCTGCGATGGTAAGCGGTTCAGTTCAGGTATGGTTTAACAGCTGGCGCACTCCAACCCGCTCGCCGTGCTCAGGACCATCGTGGTGCAGGTGGGTGCTGTTGTGGTGCAGGTGGGTGCTGTTGTGGTGCAGGTGGGTGGTGCTGCTGCGTGGTGCATTGCACAGTGGTGCAGTGTGCAGATGGACTCGCCCAACGATATGATTCTGGCTGTCATTATTGCCTTCTAATACCCAACCCTTCACACATCTCACAATCCAACCCTCTCCCCCACCACAATTTCCCTGAACCTCCCTCTCCCCTCTCTTCCTGTCCCACGGCTGGCAGGTGGAGGCATACAAGGAAATGATTCCGCCTGTCGTTGATGCCTTCAAATACTTCAACCAGGTCAGTGCTCCACGCCCCACCCCGCACCACCCTGCCCCACTCCACCCCACTCCGCCCCACCCAGCCCCACCCACCCCCCCCCCCCCCCCCCCCCCCCCCCCCCCCGCCCCTCCCCCCCCCTCTCTTGGCCCCTCGTTCTTCTGCTTCGTCTTTCTGCCTTTTGAGTCGTGCCAGCTGCGGTGTCACTGACATGCTCTGGAGCACCTGGTCCTGCTTCTACTACCTGGTGGTAAAGCCGTGAAAACTGCTCTCCTCCTACCACCACCCTCCCCCGTTCGCTCGCCCTAAAACAGTTGGAGTTTGACATTCTCGAGTACGTGGTGATAGAGCGACTGGCCCTGCCGCGCAGCACCATCAAGGAGGACGGGCTCAACATCGCCGACTGGCTGCAGTGCCTCGCCTCCTTCTGGGGCTCCGTGTACGCGCCCTCCACCCCTGCCCTCCCTCCTTCCCTCCCTTCCCTTGCTTCTGGCGTACGGGCTGTACTGCTCTGTGCACGTTCCCTCCCAGGCTTGTGTTGCCTTTTGGGGTTCCGTGGGCTGGGCTATGGAGCTCTGTGCGTGTGGCAATGCCGTTTGGTCTTCCTTTTTTTGTTTGCCATGTGTGGCCGGTCTCGTCTCCTTTTGGGGCTCTGTGTATGTTTCTCCATCCTTCCCTTGCTGCTGAGCAAAAGGCCACCGGAAGCATGGTTTTGCAGTCTATTTTTTGGAGCTCTCTACTCTCTGCTTTCTGCTCTCTGCTCTCTACTCTCTGCTCTCTGCTCTCTGCTCTCTACTCTCTGCTCTCTGCTCTCTACTCTCTGCTCTCTGCTCTCTACTCTCTGCTCTCTGCTCTCTGCTCTCTACTCTCTGCTCTCTGCTCTCTGCTCCGTGTGCATGTGTTGTTGCCTTGTGTGGCTGTGTGCGTCCCTTCCTTGTTCCGTTTCCTCAAGCTATGTGGCTCATACATAGCCTGGCTGGCTTTATGAGGGGACGCAGTGGGGCTTCACATCACACTGAGATTGAATGCATCGGTTCGCGTCGTCCCCTCCCCTTTTCTTTTCTTATCAGCTGCAAGAAGTACCCTCTGGTGGAGCTGCGGGGGCTCTTAAGCTACTTAGTGAACCGGCTGCACCAAGGCGAGGCAGTGGAGCTGGTGTTGCTGCAGGAGCTGATGGAGCAGATGGCTGGCATAGAGTCGAATGAGAACCTCACGGAGGAGCAGCTCGAGGCGCTGGCTGGCGGGGAGACGCTCAGGCAGTTGACCGCCAGCTTTGGCCAGGCCAAGAACAACAAGGTGCGCTGTTTGTGTGGCTTGCCGTGGCAGGGGTGGGTGGGGGTGGGGAAGAGCCTAAGGGGGCTGGCAGGGGATTGGGGCATCGCAGAGTCTCCTGGTTGCACGGCGGGGAGCTGGTGTTTCTGCAGGAGCTGATGGAGCATATGGCTGGCATTGAGACGATTGAGAAACTGGTGAAAAGGAAGAATTGTATCAATGTCGATCTCAAACCAAGTGAGCCAAGGTATACATAGGTGGAGGAATTGGTAACGGATGAACTTGGCCAACAATTATTAGAGGCCCCAATATCTGCTGGTTGTGTTGGACCAACATCATTGGGGCTTCAATAATTGCTGGGTGGGTTTGAACCAACATTATTGGAGGTCCAAAAATTGTTAGAAACCCAAACAAGCTTCAACCACAATTTTTGATTGAAGGTACACTCAACAACCCTACACCTATTCTATCATATGCATGATTTATAGAAAATACTACAACACAACACCCCAACATGCATAAGGCTAGAAAAAGCTAGAATTAGGTGGCGGGAGGGGTGAGTCCAAGGAGGCCTTGGTGAAGATATCCGCGAGATTGGCCGCCAAGTCAATCTTGCCATGTTTGATGCGTTCGTCGTGAACGAGGTCACGAATGAAGTAATGGCGGAGCTCAATATGCTTAGAATGTCCATGAAACACGTTGTCATTGGTGAGATGAATGGTCCTGGCATTGTCACTCCAAATGGCGGGACAGCGCTGAGGAGCACCAAGCTCCTCAAGAAGAAAAGTGTGCCCTCGAGCCTCTTGCGTGGTTATGGTGGCGACATGCAGCTCCGCGTCGCAGGAGGAGAGAGCGATGACGGAGGAGCGGGTGGAACGTCAGCTGATAAGACCGCTACCAAGAGAGAAAGCATCGCCCTAAGAGGAGCGACGTTCCGGCCGAGAATCGGCCCAGGAGGAGTCACTGTTAGGGATGAGCAAGAGGCGAACACGAACGTGTTCGGTTTCGCCCCTGCACGAACACCGCCGTTCGGCGAACCGAACATTCCCAAAAAAGGGTGTTCGCCGTTCGCCTGTGAAGGCGAACACCTTTTTGACGCAGGCGAACACGAACGTGTTCGTGGCAAACACATTCGTGTTCGCCCCAGGACTACATTCACACGTTTGTGAATTGTGCATTGTTGACATTTGTTAGGTGGTTGTAAGCTCCAAATAGAGTAAAATTCAAATCGTTGCACATTCCCTCCCCCCACCCCCCAAGCCAGTCCCGCCCTGCTTCATCCATGCTAGTGCCAGCATGTGACGGCGAAAGGCTAGATCTGCACTTGAGCAACGGCGAAATGCTAGATCTGCACTTACGCAATGGCGAAATGCTATATCTGCTCTTAAGCAACGGCGAAATGCTAGATCTGCTCTTAAGCAACGGCAAATGCCTAGATCCGCACTTAAGCAACGGCGAAATGCTAGATCTGCACTTTAGCAATGGCGAAATGCCTTGATCCGCACTTAAGCAACGGCGAAATGCTAGATCTGTACTTGACTAGCTTCGAAATGCCAGATCTGAGCCCAAACACCAAGGCCCGCGACCTAAAAATTGGTCGCGGGCCTATTCGTCAACGAACACATTGGTGTTCGTCGAAGGCCCGTGTCGAACACGAACACGTTCGTGTTCGACGCGCCTCGGCCAGCTGAGTTGTGCGAACGGCGAACGTGTTCGGGCGAACACCGAACACGTTCGCCCCGAACAATTTAGGCCAAAAAAAAGGCGAACCGAACAGGAGTTCGTCACATTGCTCATCCCTAGTCACTGTAGCCGGTGTAGACCAGACCACGACCAGGACCCCCCACGCCCAGGCCCATTGCGCCGCGAGAGATGTCCACCAACTCTATCTGACCGATGCCACTGCGCTGCGGTCTTGGGCAGGGCTGAGGAGTAGGGCGATGATGACGCGGTAGAGGTTAATGTGGTTGTCAGGGCCGACAGGAGGACGATGACGGAGAGAAAAAATATAAAGACATAGAGGGAGCTGCTGGCGGAGTGGTAAGAAGTATTATAAGGAGGTTGTGTTCCTGTAGAGGGGCATGGGCAGTGTGACAGTGAGGTGGGAGGATGTGGAGATGCTGAAACGATGATTTTTTTTCAACGACACGCTTATTGACTTCTTCCTCAAGTGAGTAGGTTGGTCCTATGGAGAACAGCTAATGTTTTCACATTCGTCACTCTCCTCTGCGGCTGATTTCCTCCTCTGTGGGAAAGGTGGGAGGTGGCGCAGAGGAGGGTGACGAATGTGAAAACATTAGTTGTTCTCCATAGGAGCAACCTACTCACTTGAGGAAGAAGTCAATGAGCGTGCCGTTGAGAAACTTTCCTGGTTTCAGCATCTCCACATACTCCCACCTCAATGTCACACTGTCTATGCCCCTCTTCGGAAATACAACCTCTTAATAATACTTCTTACACTCCGCCAGCCACTCCGTCTGTGTCTTTTTCTTTTTTTCTCCTTCCTTGCCCTTCTTGCTCTTCTTCTCGCCCTTCCTTTCAACGTCTCAAGATCCGGCACCATCGCGTGAGTCCCCGGCCCCACCTTCACCTCGTGTGGGTGCAGTGAGAGCTTCAGCAAGGCTCTCCGCTTGAAGCCCTGTGTCGCCTACCACCGCCTGCCACTGAGGAGAGGAGCAGCTCAAGGCGCTGGTTGGGGGGAAGACTCTCAGGCAGTTGACTGCTAGCTTCCTTTGGCCAGGCCAAATACAGCAATGTGCATTGCATGGCTTGAAATAGGTGAGGCTGCTGGGAGATTGAGTGAGCGCGAAGAAAGGTAGAAGCTGAAAGAGCTCTGCTTTACGACCCCGCAACGCAAATGTCCTATTTAAACTTGCCCTCCTCCCCATCCACCAACCCCATCCACCAACCCCATCGACCACACTCACATTCTCCAAACCCAACCCTTCCACCCCCACCCCACCCTATCCGCACTGGTACTGCTGGCAGGCCATGGCACGGTCAATGGGGCGGCTGAAGGACGCGCTGCTTTGAGATGGTTCAAAGGCCTCACTCACCCCACCACCTTCCATCACCCCCACCCCCACCCCCTTGGGTACCTGGGCAGGCCATGGCTCGGTCAAGGGGCGGCTGAAGGACGCGCTGCTTCGAAATTGTCAACACCCCATTCACCACCCGCCTCCTCCCCCCCCCCCCCCTTCCCCCCACCCTCTCCGTTACCGTGGCAGGCCATGGCGCGGTCCATGGGGCGGCTCAAGGATGCGCTGCTGCCGGGCAAGGGCGAGCCGAATCTCGCCGTGCCACTGCTGGTGCTCATTGCACGGCAACGATCCAAGTGAGTGTTCGTGGTGATTCCTTGACACATTTTGGCGCACCAGTGCATTTGCTTCCACGTCATCCTTGCTTGTCGTGCTGCTCCCGCCCCTCACGCTCGCCCATACTCTCTGCTCACGCATTTTGAAATCACCCTCTCTTCCCCCAACCCCCCGACGCACTGTGCCCTCTCTATGCCTCTCCCCCTTCCAGCGTCGTGTTTGAAACTCCTCAATGAACGTTTTAGCAGTTGCCTCTTCCTTCAAACGGTCCTTTGTCTCTTGTGTCCCCTGTGCTGTGCTGTGGTGCTCTGTGCTGTGCTGTGCTGTGGTGCACATTTCGAATCCAACAGGCCCAACCCTCTCTTCGTTCTATCTCCCTTTCTCTCCCAGCCCCAAGCATTCCGTTTGAGGCAGAGCAATCGCACAGTAGTCACGCTGTTGGTTAAGTCCCTTCCTCCTTTCCTCTCGCCATTTTCCACCCTTCTCCACCCTTCTCCACCCTCTCCCAGCATTGTGTTTGAGGCGGAGGGGTCACACATCAAGCTACTCAGCGAGCACTTCGACCGATGCCACCTCATCATGCTACAGTACGCGCAGTTCCTCTCCGCCGCCCTCTCGCCGCCCACCTCGTACGCCGCCTTCATGCCGACCCTGCACACTCTCTCGCAGCGCTTCCACATGCCGCCCGAAGCCGCCTTCCTGTTCTACCGCCCTGTGTTGCGTCTCTTCAAGCCCTGCCCTGATTCCCCCGTGTCCTGGCCTGCTCTCGCTGCTGCGAGTGGTGCGGGCGGGAGTGGTGGGGGTGGTGGGAGGGGAGGGGAGAAGGAGAAGAGGCAGCAGCAGCAGGGGGGGAGGAAGGGGGCAGGGGATGGGGTGGCAATGGATGGGGTGGTGGAGGATGGGGTGGAGGGGGAGGGGGATGGGGAATCAGAGGAGGACTTGGTGCTGTGCCTGGGAGATGCGGCAGCTACAACTGCAACTGCTGCTACTGCTGCTGCTGCTGTTTCCACTAGTGCTGCTGCTGCGGCTGCTGCTGCGGCTGGCGCCGATGCCACTGACAGCCCCGTGCACTGGCGGGACGTGGTGGAGTGGGTCCGAAACATGCCGCCCGCAGCAGCGTGGCGGGGCTTGTCGCCGCCCTTCTATCTGCTCTTCTGGGGGCTCTCCCTCTGCGACCTGCATGTGCCACGGCAGCGCTACGAGGCCGAGATGGCCAAGCAGAGAGCGCTGCTGAGGTCGCTTGAAGATGTTGGGGACTCCTCAGGCTCAGCCATCCAGGTGAGTCGTCAGATTGTCCTTCCAAAATTGCTCAGGTGAGGGCGTATGCGGGTTCTCTTCTGGGGGCTGTCACTCTGTGACCTGCATGTGCCACGGCAGCGCTACGAGGCCGAGATGGCCAAGCAGAGAGCGCTGCTGAGGTCGCTTGAAGATGTTGGGGATTCCTCAGGCTCAGCCATCCAGGTGAGGCATATTGGGTTCTCCCTCTCTGCTCAGAGAGCGCTGCTCCGCTCCCTCGAGGACGTGGGCAACTCCTCAGTCCCCGCTATCCAGGTGAATTTTCAATCCAGGTGAATATTCAATCTGTTCAGGTTGTTCGGGTCGTTGAGTTGGTGGTTTCTTTTCTCTTATTCTTGTACGCACTCTCCTGCGTTGCACAAGAATACAATACTTCGCAAGGTGGTTTCCAGAAGGAACCTGACGGAACGCAAGCTCCGGAGCGGTTTACGGCTCGTCTCAACGTCTGACCGTCCGTGGCACCTCATTTTCTAGCATCACCTCATTGTCGCCCTTATGTCTCTGCACTCGCCCTTCGTGCCGTCTCTCCCATCGCCTTGCACACTCACAAGCAGAAGCGCAAGAAGGAGAAGGAGCGAGTGCAGGAGGTGTTGGATCGGCTCTCAGCCGAGCTGGCTCGGCAGCAGGCTCGGGTCGAGGCTGTGCAGCGGCGGCTGGTTCGGGACCGGGCACGCTGGCTGAGCCCGGCTGCAGTGCCGGACAGCTGGCGCATCGTGCCGTGCTTCCTACACCACTGCGTTATCCCGCGCGTTCTTATGAGCCCAGAGGATGCAGTCTATTGTGCCAAGTGAGTGGATTCTAGGAGGGAGTTGGGGTGCAAGCATTAACTTGCAGCCGTGCCGGACAGCTGGCGCATCGTCCCGTGCTTCCTGCACCACTGTGTCATCCCGCGCGTGCTCATGAGCCCAGAGGATGCTGTGTATTGCGCCAAGTGAGTGTCACCATGAGAGATGAGGGGCAATGGAAGAATTAGGACAGAGATGGGGCTGGCGCATCGTCCCGTGCTTCCTCCTGCACCATTGCGTGCGCCATTCCACACGTGCTCTGCTCATGAGGGCTGAAGATAAGTGATTGACAGCGGCTCTGTGTACTGTATTGTGCCAAGTGAGTGCTTGTTCATTCTCCGCATTCACGCAGCGGCCACCCCCCAGTTCTGTTCTGCAAGTTTTAGATGGTCGGTGCCTTGGTGTGTAAGAGCTTCCACCCCACTCTTGCCCCTCTCTCTGCTCCTTACCCATGCAGGTTCATACCCCAAATGCACGCGGCAGCCACACCGCAGTTCTGCACATTTCAGATGGTGGACGCGATTGTGTGCAAGAGCTTCCACCCATTCTACCTCCTCTCTCTGCTCCCTATCCATGCAGGTTTATTCTGCGCATGCACGCAGCAGCCACCCCCCAGTTCTGCACGTTTCAGATGGTGGACGCGTTTGTGTGCAAGAGCTCTAACAGCCACCTCCCCCCACCCGCTCTCTACTCCCCCATGCAGGTTCATTCTGCGCATGCACGCGGCGGCCACCCCGCAGTTCTGCACGTTTCAGATGGTGGACGCCTTTGTGTGCAAGAGCTTCCACCCGCTGCTCGCCAGCTCCTCCGAGGCCGAGGCCGGCCGCCTGGGGCGCTTTGTGCTGGAGATACTGCAGGCCATCTACCGCTGGAAGGTGGGTGGCTGAGGCGAGAGGGGGTGACTGGGGCAACTGGGAAAGCTGGGCGACTGGGGTAACTGGGCTGCCTAGGGCGGTTCGGCTGGAAATTCTGCAGGCCATCTACCGCTGGTAGGTGTGTTAGAGGGGGAAAGGGGAATATCTGGGGTCACCAGCCTGCCTGGGCCTGCTGGGGCGCTTTGTGCTGAAAATTCTGCAGGCCATCTGCCGTTGGAAGGTGAGGGTGGTGGCAATGGTACGAGGGTCGCAGGCGGGGGTTGGTGAGGGCAGGAGTATGGGTGAAAGGTGAGAGTGTTTTTCAGGCACCTCAAAATACGATTTTTGAGGCGCCTCACAAAACGGGTGGTGAGGGCGGGACTCGGGAGTATGGTTGAAAGGTGAGAGTCAGCGGAAGGGGTCTCGCCTGGAAAGGCTGGGGCGCTGGTTTGTGGTGGTGTCCAGCAGTGTACAAGCCGAGCCCCTGGTATGCCCCCCCCGATTGCACTCAAAACACAGTTACTCCGCTTCCTCCACCCACACCTCCCCCTTCTCCCCTCTCTTGCTGTGGGTGCATGGCAGAGCGATGCAGCGGTGTACAACGCGGAGTGTCTGGACCACCCCGGGTCATCCAAGAGTGTGATGAAGAAACCCAACAACAACATGACGCTCGACCAGTTCCGCACTGTGAGTGATGATTTATGCTCGTGCTGACTGTGCTGTTGTCCCCACACTGCAAGCACATGCCATGTGGAACGACAAGCACGTGTCCACCTGCCTGCCACACTGCACCCTCACACTGTGCCCCTCTTCCATCTCTGTGCTGTCAGATCAACTGGAAGTGGAACGCGAAGCTAGTGAAGGTGCTATCCACGCTCCTCGAGTCCACCGAGTACATGCACATCCGCAACGCCCTCACGCTGCTCTCGCGCGTCTCCGCCGTCTTCCCCGTCACCAAGCGCGGGGGGCTCGTGCTCGAGCGCAAGGTGGGTGGCTGATGAGCGCAAGGTGGGTGGCTGATGAGCGCAAGGTGGGTGGCTGTGGGTCCTAGAGCGCAAAGTAGGTGTGTTGCCGCTGTTGTTGCTTTTGATGATGATGCTGCGGCTGCCTCTGCCGTTGCCTTCGCTGCCGCCGCTGCTGCCGCCGTGGCCACCATACCATCAACCCCCATTGCACAGTTGTCGCCAGTTCGTGTCTGCAAAGTCGCAGCATCTCATGATGCCATCGTGCCGTCACACGGCCATGCCGTCATGCCATCATCTCGTTATGTCATCAGCTCTTCATACCATTCTGCCATCATGTCATACCACCATCGCCATCAGGTGAATCGTCTCGAGGCAGAGGAGCGGCAGGATCTGAAGCTCATGGCTACCAGTGTGTCGGCCGCTCATTTGCTCCATCCCATCATCTCGTCATTTCGTGATTTCATTCCATCATGCCATGCCACCCACCATCGCAATCAGGTGAATCGCCTTAAAGCGGAGGAGCGGCAGGATCTGAAGCTCATGGCCACCAGCGTGTCGGCTGCACTCAACGCCAAGAAGGTATGGATGCGATGTGGAGATATGGGTCGTTTCAACTTTGTTGATTAGATTTGACTCAGCGTCCCCAATTCGTGGTGGTAAGCCCTCCCGACTTCCAAGGCTTTACACATAGCAAAGCAACCACAATCGTGCTGTGAGCCTGAAAGAACTAGGAAGGTACAAAAAAAAAAAAAAAAAAAAAAGTCTGCTTTTCGAAACAAGAGTGAGAATCATATGCTTGGAAATATGCACTTGTAACGACATATATGTTGTCCTAAAGGAGAATGCTGTTAGCGTTTGTGTCTTCGTGCATTCTCGCTCTCTTTCTTGCAGCAATCGTGAGTGACAGATGAGGGGTTTGGAGGCGCTCTAGCTCCCTCTGACACATCCTGCCGCTCTTTGTTTGCCCCTCTTGCTGCCTCTCCTGCTGCAGGCGCCCCTCTTGCTGCCTCTCCTGCTGCAGGCGCCTCAACATGCTACTTTCCGTGTGTGCCTCCTGCAGCAATCGTGGGTGACAGATGAGGAGTTCGGACGGGCACCAGCTCCCTCTGCCACTCCCTGCCCGTCTTTTTTTAGGCGCCTCAGAATGCTATTTTTCGCGTGTGTGCCTCCCTCTCTCACCCTGTCGCTCGCAGCAATCGTGGGTGACGGATGAGGAGTTCGGACGGGCACCAGCTCCCTCTGCCACTCCCTGCCCTGCCTCCCTTCCCTTGCCCCATTTTTTTTAGGCGCCTCAAAATGCTATTCCCCACTAATGTGCATCCTACTCTCTCCCTCTCTCTCCCTGTCGCTCGCAGCAATCGTGGGTGACGGATGAGGAGTTTGGGGGAGCACCGGCTCCCTCCACCACTCCCCGCGCTGCCTCCCCTGCCCCTCTTGCTGCTGCTCCTGCTGCCCCCACGACGACCACCACTGCTGCTGCTCCTGCTGCTGCTGCAGCTGCTGCATCGGCTGCTGCTCCTGCCACTGTCCCTGCTGCCAACGCTGCTGCTTCGGCTGCTGGTGGTGGTGGTGGGATTGGCAAAGGAGCTGCTGTTATCCCTGCTGCTGCTGCTGCTCCCTTTGCTCCGTCTAGTCGCCACCCCACGCCCCCCCCTTCACGCCGTTCCTCCATGCCTCCCCCTTCCCCCGAACGCCCCGCCTCCAAGTCTCCCCTGATCCATGGCGGAATGGGGGGACGGGAGGGGGAAGCGGGAGAGGGGAGAGATGGGGAGAAGGAGAGAGGCAGGACAATGGAAAAGGAACGAGAGAAAGTGATGACTGTTAAGGGGGAAGAGGGTGGTGCTGTTGCTGGTGCTGCTGGTGGTTCGTCTTCCCGTGCTGCTGCTGCTGCTGCTGAAGTCCTTATAAAGGAGGAGCCAGTAGCGAGGACAGTGGGGCAGATGGAAGGGAAAAGGGAGGATAGGTGGGAGGAGGGGGAGCAAGCACCACCTGCGAAGCACAGGAAGGTGGAAGGAGGAGAGGGAGAGGGAGGGGGACGGGGAGGAGGAGGAGAGGCTGGAAGAGGGGGAGTGAGGGCAGGCAGCAAACTATCGCCTGATGCTCCTCCCTTTGTGCCCGCTGCACTAAGAGGGGCAGGGGGTGGGACAGAAGGGGACAGGGGGAGGGATGAAGAGATGGAAACTAAGGGAGGGAGGAGAGTTGAGGAAGGGAGGGAGGGGAAAGAGAGGGAGAGGGAGAGGGAAAGGAGGGGGTCGGGTGGGGGTGGTAGGCACGAGGAAAGGGCAGGGAGGGAGAGAGGAGAGGATGAGGAGAAAGGGTTTGAATCAGACAAAGGAAAGGGTGGGAAGTTGGGTGTGGGGGGTGAGGGGTCAAACCACAGGGATAGCGTGGGTGTGGGTGTGGGTGGGTCTAGTAGGAGAGTGTATGAGGAGAAAGAGGAGCATGAAGCAGGGGAGGTGAGGGGGGAGGGCAGAGGGGAGGGCAGGTGGGAGGGCAGGGGAGGGCATAAGAGGGGGGGTGATGGGGTGGAGAGAGAGGGGGTGAGAGATTTGGGTGAGAGGGTGAAGAGAGGTGAGTGGGAGGATGGGGAGCAGGATGTGCGTAGTGGGAGGGATGAGCGGAGTGTGAAGATTGAGAAAGAGGATATGAAGAGTAGGGAGAGGGAGAGGGAGAGGGAGGAGAGGGATAAAGATAAGTCGCATGTTTTGGATAGAGAAAGGGAGGCGGAGGCAGGGAAGGGGAAGGAGAGAGAAGGCAGAGATAGGGAGAGGGAGAGGGAGAGGGAGAGGGAGAGGGAGAGGGAGAGGGAGAGGGAGAGGGAGAGGGAGAGGGAGAGGGAGAGGGAGAGGGAGAGGGAGAGGGAGAGGGAGAGGGAGAGGGAGAGGGAGAGGGAGAGGGAGAGGGAGAGGGAGAGGGAGAGGGGGAAGGAGAGGGAGGACAAGGGACGGGACAGGGGACGAGGGGAGAGGGAGAAGGATCGTGAAGTGGAGCGGGGGGAGGTGAAGGAAGGGCGGGAGAGGGACAAGGGACGTGAGAGGAACCATGAGGAGGAAAGGGGGGAGAAGGAGAGGGAAAGGGAGAAGGAGAAGGAGAAGGAGAAGGAGAAGGAGAAGGAGAAGGAGAAGGAGAAGGAGAGGGAGCGAGTGCAGGAGGAGAAGATGAGGGAGGAGAGGGAGAGGCTGAGGGCTAGGCTTGAGGAAGATATGATGGTGAGAGAGAAGGAGAAGGAGAGGGAGAGGGAGAGAGAGAAGGAAAGGGAGAGGGAGAAGGAAAAGGAGAGGGAGAGGGAAAGGGAGAGGGAGCGGGGAGCGGGTAAGGATAAGGGAAGGGAGCGAAGCAAGGCTGCTGCGGCGGCAGCTCTGGCTGCAGCTGCTGCGGCCACTGCTGGTCGGAGTGCTGGAGGGGGGTCGGGAGGAGGAGATGGGGGTGGAGGAGGGGGGGGAAGTGGAGGAGAGAGAGGGCCTAGCATGGCAGCCAGTCCTGCTAGAGTGACGGGAGGGGGAGCAGGAGGGGGAGGCGCATCTGGTGTGAAGAGTCCAAAGGAAATGGAAGGGGTGGAGGAGGGAGGGAGGGGTAGGGGAGGTAAGAGGAGTGTGAGCTCATCAGAAGAAGGGGGAGGAGGGGCGGTGGCTGGGGGTGGTGGGGAACGGGGAGTTAAAAGAGCAAGGAGGAACGATGGGGAGATGGAGAGGGAGAGAGGCAGGGACGAGAAGGGGAGGGAGAGGGAGCGTGAGAGGGGAGAGGAGACTCCGAGGGCGCATGAGCGGGAGGGGAGAGGGGAAGGGAGAGGAGGGGAGCGGGGGAGTGGGGGTCGGGGAGGGGAGAAGGGAGAGTGGAGTGAGAGAGGCAGTGTGGAGCGGGGGAGGGGGAGAGAGGTGGAGGATACAGGCATTGTGGGTGATGGGCGTGGGGATGTGCATGAGTGGGGGGAGAGGGTTGGTGTGCGTGAGAAGGGTGTGTCTGATCGCAAAGGGGACAGGGAGAGGGAGAAGGAGAGGGAAAGGGAGAAGGGGAGGGAGAGAGAGCGAGGGCAGGTTGATAGCACCCCTGAGAGGGAGGTGAAGGAGGAGAGGGGTGGGGGGCGGGAGAGAGAAGCAGAGCACTTGAAGGAAAGGGACAGGGACTGGGACCATGAGCGTTCAACTGTGAAGGAGAGACTGGGGGAGCGAGGGAGGGGTGGGAGGGAGAGGGGAGAGAGAGGAGAGAGGGTGGGTGGCAAGGAGGAGGAGCGGGGAGTGGAGCAGGAGCGTGTGTATGAGAAGGAACGTGGGGAGAGGGAGCGTGTTGAGAAGGGTGAGAAGGAGCGTGGAATCTTCCCCGAGCGGAGCATTGAGAGGGGAGGGGGGATTCGCGTGGTGGTGCGGGAAGTGGGCGAGGAGGGGAGGGAGGAGGGGCATGCGCCGAGGCATGGAGCAGGGCAGGGACTTCGTCACTCGCTTGTCGTTGGAGTAACTCCACCTGCCCCTGCTGGAAGACTCCTTCATGAGGTACGCCGCTCAGGTTAAACCAGTTATTTTATTGAAATGCACATGTATACATGTATCTTTAACATATATATTAATCTTTCGAAACTTCGCCCACTTATCCCTGTTCGAGACTACATAGCCTTGTCCCGCGTCAACTCCTGTTCTTTTTTTTTGTGTTGTTTCTCTCACGCTGTTCCTCCCCACCTCATCCTCCCCCAGCCACGAGAGCGGGACCGTGACTGGGATCGCGATCACGACTATGACGAGCGCGACCGGGAACGGGACAGGGATCGGGACAGGGACCGCGACCACCCGCGAGACCGCGAGCCTTATCGGGAGCGGGACCGCTCGCCCCGGGAGAGCAAGTTCTCCTCTGCGCCTCCTCCCAGGGAGCTCCAGCCGATTTCTCCGCTTCCACCGCAGCCTCTCGCCCTGCCTGCTCAGCTCGCTCCTACCAGCTCCTCAGCTGCTCTCCCTGCAAAGCGCAGGAAGATCAAGCGGGATCAGAGCCTCATGCAGCCGCATGGGGATGCTATGCATTCGCCAGGTGGTGCCGGGCCGCCTGTGGCTGGCATTGCAGCAGGTGGGCCGACATCCATGCCCATGCCGCTTGCTCCGCCATTCCACTTGGGTGGGGTTCATCCGTCGTCTCGGTCTCCTGCTGTGGTTATGGCGGCTGGAGGTGGCCACCGTGGTGGGCCAATGCTTCACGTGACTTCAACGCTTGATGACCGTGCGGACAGACGGTGGATTGCTGACGGTGGTGGTGGTGGTGGCGGAGGTGGGAGCAGGAGAAGTGGTGAGGTTGAGTTGCCGCCGCCTTCACGAGGGGCAGGGCCTGCTAGGAGCTCCAGACTTGCTGGCAGGCTTGGGGAGCAGGATGTGGGAGGGAGCTACGATCGTAGTGGTCCTGGTCAAGGAGGTGGAGTGCGAGATGAGGCATGGGACGGTGACAAGGCGCGACGGGATGGTCGCATGAGCAGCAGACGCCATTGAGCAAGGTCCCAACCATTCAAATGAACATAAGGTCGACCATGCTGATAATCTTGTTGGAACCAGCGTGTCACAATTGTGGCGTAACTCAATTGATGCTTGTCCAAGCTGGATACATAG